ACTCATTGTTAATATTAAGTACACTTTTTTTTAATTTGTAATATAAGTTTTTTAAGACCGGATTTTGTTTGTAAAGCTTAAAAGTTAAAATTATTCATATACCTATGTACGTGGTATTTATTTTGTAAATTAGGTAAATATATGCTAAAGTTAAATATTTATTTATATACCCGGCATTTAATTTTTAATCTTACCGAGAAGAAAACCATGTTATTTATTAATGATTCAACAGGTAAGTAATTTATGTTTTTATTAAATATTTTAAATTATTTTTATTAACTAAAGCTATATCTATTTATTAAAAAAAAAAATTTATTCCAGAAATGTTTTGTACATTTATTTAACGCGCTTACTATATCCCTGCTCTGTTCAAAATCTTCTTACTAACTGCAAACTTTCATAGCTTCTAAGTATAAATGTAAAACGCAATAAAACACGAAAGATAAAACCTAACATCTAAAAGTCACTAACTCGTTAGTGCTTTAATGCAATTTACACCGAATCGTTAGGAGAGTTGTTATTAAAACAATATTTCCGAGAAGTTATCCTCCGTGGAGTTTCTAACTAGGCTTACCGGGAATACGCGCACTTCGTAGAATCCCATAATGGCATCGATACTTTTGCAGATTTTCCAATCGCTATTCTATTTGAAACTTGTTTCAAAATATAAAGTTGTTTCTATATAAATAATACTTTTAATCTAGTAAGTAGTAGCGTATATTATACGGATACTACATTAAGTATGCTTCATGTGAGAAACATGTCTATATATATGAAAATGAATCCCTATTTCCCTTGGTCACGCCATCACGCGTGAACGGCTGGACCGATGTAACTATTTTTTTTTGTTGTGTTTGTTATTGTCAGGAGAAGGTTCTTATGAAAGAAAAAAAATGAAAAATTAACGAAAAAAAAATTAAAATGTATATGGCTAACGCTGGCTAATAACTATTTATATCTATTTAAAACGTACCTAGCGATGAACCTGAGCGAAGCGAGGGTGAGAGAGTACATAATAAAAATATTAAAAAAGGCACTTTTTGATAAAACTTTCAGTATTTAAATAAAAATTAAAAAAAAACTTTTTCGTAAGAATTATCCTCTGTCATCTATTCATATAATAAAATTGAAACTAAACCGATTCTGTACATTAAATATTTTTTGGTAAATTTTATCGAAATAAACATTATTATCGATACAGATGCCTAATCTGTAGTTTTTAGAATTTTTGTCTGTCTGTCTGTTACCGCATCGCGGAAAAACCACTGGAGGAATTTTCATGAAATTTGGTATGGTGATGGCGGATTAGATAGAGATTTACCCCGGGAAAATATCTCATTTCTGAGAAAAAATGAAAAAACTGTATTATGTAAGAGTATACTAATCTGTAAAAACTAAGAATTTGGTTTTTGGTCATCTGAACGCGGGCGGAGCCGCGGGCAATGCTAGTAAAACTATAAAAATTATTAATTTCAACGTCAGTAAGCTATTCGAACCTTTTGTTGTTTCATTTATCTCTCACAATCATGATTAAAAACCTGATCATGATAATTCTATAAAGGTAACATACAAATGAAATCTTTCAAGATTGATATGAATACATACTATGAAAACAAAATATCTACTTTTGTAATATAGGTATATTTTTAGGATACTTATTAGTCGTAAAGACATGCTAATTTCTGGTCTCAATCTTCAACATTTTGCTATTTCTCTCAACATGGTGCTACAATTTCTGAGAAGGCTTAATAAAATGCGTCTGTACAAACAATTAGCATATCCACCTAAAACGGGGAACAAAAAAGTCAGTCGTTCGGCGAGAACGCTTAAATGGTAAAAAAATGTATTAACTAATCGTGTTACTGCTATAAAGTTTATAACATAAAAAAACATTAATCATATGGTGCAAAAATTTACATGCAATGTTGGAGAAAAAATTCATTCGGCTTTACCGTGGTATGGCCAGATTTCATGGAATATTCAATTTAACATCGACTATTTCCGTGCTCCTTTATTAGGTTAGACGTGAACTGGCGAAACCGTGTACGCTATAAAATTTATCCGCTACGATTTTTTGTTTCCACTATCTTTTGGTGCTTCCTGCAGTTAATTAAGACGGCGTGTTAATTGATTAGTATTTTAGGTTACGGTAATGGTAAAGTCATGTAGAATAAATCTTTAGAAACTAATTAAAACATACCGTTTTCTGGATTACTTGCCATTTGTATCAAACTTTAAATATTTTTATCTACGTGTGGATGCATTACGAGAATTTGCCGAAAACTTCCTTTGATTTATGCACAAAAACCGATACTCGATCGAAACGGCCACAAATGTTGCAAAGCTACACAAGCCAAGACTCAGCCAAGAGCCAAGCTCTCTCTACATGTTTGAATCTGTCATTTTGATTTGATTGTCAAGGCTTGGCAAGCGTGTGGACTTGGCATAAAGGTTCTATAAACCTAGAAAGTCTTACATTTTGCTAGAGAGTAGATATAAAGATCAGTTATTCATTATTCTGGTTACACATAAATCAACAACCGAAGACGCGGGCAAAGTAAGTTATACCTCAGAATACAGATCATATAATATTATACTAGGCTATACGTCAATTTAAGCCACTTTTAAAAATGCTTGCTTGAGAAATGCTGACCAAAAATTTACTTTACATTAATTTGGGGAATAAACTGTTCATATAATATTAATATATTATATAATTATAACCCTTCTAATTTTATTATTTTATCTATAATAGTAATATTTAAAGCCTTTTAAAAAAAAAGGCTTTTATAATACCTATACGTATAAATTGATTAGAAACGACATATTCGGAAAAAACGCGAATAATATGCACCGTATTTTAAAAGATATTTAAAATTTCCTGATTCCATAAAATGGGGTTCATACCAGTAATGGCGTTTCACGTTTCATCAGAATTTAGTTCGAAAACCAATATAATATTTTCTATAAGTATAATATTTCAAAATATAGTCCAATTACTACCCTCTTTATATCTCAAGTTGGACTCTAATACCTACCATGTGCGGTAGATAGAACATACGCAAATTAAAATTTTCCCCGAAAAACATACACGTATGTCTAAACCGTTGAATATCATAAGGCTTTCAAAATTGTATCATAATTTTTTTTATTTTACCAAATGCCCTCGACGTTTTATATGACGTTTTTAAAAAAATAATTTAAGTAGTAGGTAGGCATGAATGGGTATTAGGTAAGTAAAATCTTTTCAAAGTAGGAATCAAGACCCCGAGCGACAAAACTGAAAGCGAATTGATAATATAGGTATAGAATGCTACAAATTATGTGATCAAGTATATGTATATAAATAATTTATTTCATCATTGTACAATATTTTACTTATATTCAGCTAATAAACATAGTAGAACGTCTAAATTTTATTAATTACAACGTTACCAATCGCGTAATTGCTCTAAATAATTGCACAGGAGTTGTTAAAATTGGAATCTCACTATTATTTTATGTGTATACATATTTCTTACGTTCACGATTTTTCCTTTATTATCACATTAAAAACCATTGATAATGCTACAAAAGGATTGGATGGATGTAGATGAAATTTAGTGTACATATATGTAGAATAAGACGTTGCCTGTGCATGCACCCGAGGTATGGACCCGAGCAAAGCCCCTCGCTTTGTAATTACTTAAACGAGTATACATATACCTAATGGAAGACTAAGTTACAAAAATTACAAAAAAAACCTGCTTCTACTCAACCCAAAGCACTCTTTTACAATATTCTAAATTAAAAAAAAAAATATGTGTCTATCATCTATGACCAAGTCTACAACTTTTGTTATAATCATAAACCTTGAAAATCATACAGTTTTATAACTATATATTTTTCGAAATAGAACTGGGAATATTATTGAAAAAACAATATCAAAAATTCCACAAACATCACGCTGCCAGCTTTCCCTATTTCTACGAAACCAAAACAAACACACAAATATGCAGCTGTCACTCGTCACGAATGTCGGAACAGAATGTTACCGCCCACAGATATGTATAATAACAGCGATTATACATGAATTATAACCATAACGTATGATACTTATAGGTATATGAAGCTCGTTGCTTAATTTCTGTTTTGGAATTTGTCCATATTTCAAAGCTTTCCTGAATATTGCAGCCGGATCTCTTTTTACAACATTTTTATTTCACTATAACTACACGCGCAAAATAAGAACAAATAAAAATACTGATACATGACTTATCGAAACTATAGGCATTTAATTTTAGTATTCCGATGAGTCAAAAAAAGGAGAATATCCTATTGCGAATGTCTAAGCGAAGAATCTGTTTCAAAGATATTTTTTTCGTATTCTATAGGTACTCCGTCAGAATCTTTACCATAATTTTTAATGTTCGCATTTTTCCTCGTCGACTAGTCATACTCCGATCGATCTTCACCGTTCATTTTAATTCCTCATAAATCGTAAGCAGTTCTAGATTATAATATCATAATATCATAATATATAACTAGTGACTCACCCTCGCTCCACTCGGGTTCTTCCCTAGTGAAAATTTAGGTTTGTATGTATTTTTTAATGCCGAGTTATAGAAAAATAAAACATTTAGTCCAATAAATAAAAAAAATTTTTTAGTGTGGACCACCCTTATCACTTAGGGGTATGAAAAATAGTTTACGTCCTATTCTCAGACCTACTGAATATACACAAAAAAATCATAAGCATCGGTCTAACCGTTTCGGAGGGGTTTTGTTACAAACACTGTGTACACGAGAATTTTATATATAGAGATTAGAGAAGATTTGACAAAGTATCACTAATACTGGCTGACTAGAACTCAACTGATTGTAATTATTAAAGAATAAAAAAATACATTTTGCCACAGATCAGTTCTGTCATTTCTTCTGAATTTATATTTTTATACTTTTAACTATACTATGAATACTGTATTTTATGTTACTGGAATATTTATTTATAGTTAAAATTAATGCCGCTGAGCGGCTGCACCAATAGTCTAGTGGGATTGGTAACGTTGGTGACGTTGTTACTGATACCTCAGTACTATGTGCCAGATCGCTTAGTTCCAGAGGAGCCGGTCTTATCGAAGAATGTCACACAAACGTGGGTGCCGCTAGACATCCCTTCACTAGATTTGTTCCTTACTTTGTTACTAGTGTCACTAGCAGCCATTATTTACATCTGGTGCTGGATTCAAAGGAAGCTACTGGAACGACGGATTATGAAGGTAATAAATTTTTATTATAGCTTTACCGTTACTACCTCTGTGTATTTCTATAGACAATAGAAGTACTTAATGCGTTATGCGTAAATATTATTATACAGTAAAAGTTATTAATTATACGCCTAGAATAAAATATTTATACAAATATAATACCATTCTAGGCGTCAAGTACATATTATTGTCTTTTCTTTACGTTTTCTTTTAGTATTAGCCAATAAAAAACTATGCTATTCATACATTGTATCCGAGTGAGGTGAGCTCAGTTTATCTAACAGCAGTGCCGGATTTACCCTTAGCGCCGCTCCTGGGCATAGTAAAAATGCCGCCCTATTATCGCAATTTTGACTAAAATATTGAAAGTTAAAAAACTTTTAAATATTATTTTTTGAAAAATGTACCTACTAATTAATCTTTTTTAGTTTTTGTAAAATAAACAAAGCATTTTCGATAACGCGAACAAAGAGTTTTGGGCACTAAACCCGAGTGCCCCTAGTTTAAATCCAGCGCTGTCTATCAAACATTTCTTACACTCCATACAAAAATCTTACATCTTGTCACATTACATCCCTAGATTGATTAAATATATTGCTTATATTTTTAATGTTATTATTTCCTCAGCTAAATCAAAATTTAAACGAGCGCTTGGAAGTAGTGCGTAGTTGGGACGCACGGCAGGAAGAACTTGAAGTTACTCTAAAAATGGTACAAAATGCCACATCCGAGTACAACCTCTTATTATACCTTTTACTGCGACATTTGAACCATGGTATCGGGGTCAAAAAATCTTAATTCGAAGCTTGAAGCAAAGTCCTAAGTCGCATGCGTATTGCAGTATATTAAGAGGAAAAAGTACATACTGTTGGTAGTATTTGTGACATAATTGTTAATTAAAGAATTCCTACTCTTGATTTAACAACTTGTATGTAAATAATATAAGCAATATTTTTCCTTGCAGATGCGCTTTTGTAAATATAATTTATTTTGTTATTATCTTGTGTATTTTATTCAAAAACGAAACCATAGTTCTCCATTCTGTACCACTTTGTTATAATATAAAATTTAATATGAGGATTTCAGTTATTGTTTTAATATTTTTTCAATACCTTTAAAGTTAAAGTAAGGCTTCAATTATATTTTTGTAAAAGTCTGGTATTTAAAATTTTATATGAGCTACTGCAGATTGTTGTCATTAAAAATTATGGCACATATTTATCTTAATATGTATAATCTGTACATGTGTTTGTCACCTTACTCCTCCTAAAGGGCTGGACCGATTTTAATGATATTTTCTGTGTATTTTTAAGTAGGTCCTTGCAAGGCTTAAATTCACAAATGGACCTGGTAGGTGACGCTGCAGTCGATGTATCAAAGAGTTTGTTTTTTTAGTCGTTTGAACGTGGGCGAAGCCGTTTTTTTAGTCGTTTGAGCGTACTGCTAGTATTATATGATAGCTATAACTATTTTATATTTATAATAATATCTATAGTTCGGTACTTATAATAAAACTACTGTATATTAAACATTTTTATTTGCAAATTATATTTGAACTAAAAGAGTTTTTTTAGTAAGTATTATTTCTATCACAAAATAGCGATTATTCAAGAAAATATCTGCCTATAGGTATGTTAATTTAGACGAAAGGAGGAGATAATTACCTATAACAATTCTTGCTTCAATTTTTTATAATTTAATTTGGCATTTACGTTCAAATCAATGGGCCATCGACTACAGTATGGATTTTATACTGCGCTATTGCCTATCACTAACAGTCAGTATTAAAAAGGGCTGAATACAAGTCACAATAATAACATCAAAAAAGAATGGATGTAGAGTAAAAAGGTGAAAAATACGGCGTGGGCTTTAATTTTGAATGATAACATTTGGAAAACAATTTATCTCAGAAACAGATTTCCCAAGAGATGGAGATAGTTAGCATACAAATTGTGTTATTAACATACACAATAGTGTATTATATAACGAAATAATATCGTTTATTTAAATATCATTAATAGTTTCCATAAGTAAGGACTATTCTAATTTACAATCTTACATAAACTTAACTCTGATAAGACCTTTTATTCAGCTCTTTTTAACGTCCTACTGCTGCACACGGGCCTCCCAATACGAGGGGGATCGGCTCATAGTCCACCACGCTGGCCAAGTGCGGGTTGGCGGACTTCACATGTCTTTCGAAAACTTGCTACATTCTCTCGACATGCAGATTTCCTCGCGATGTTTTCCTTCACCATGACAATACCTTAGTAATTAGCAAAAGAAAGCTTCAGCAGTACCTAATTTTACATTTAAAATAAGCGCAACAAAACTTAGTTTAGATATTACTTAATAATCCCTATATTTCATTCCTCTATCTTTCCTAAATAAATAATCTGACTTGTTACATTCAGAATTTTCTTTACTGAAGTTACATGCTATGTTCATGACATGGTTTTAAATGATTCCCAAATTGCTATTACATATATTGCAAATATTATCAGAGATGCAAAAATTTTATTGAAGTAATAGTACTTATTTTGGCACATTTGGAAAAAATATGAGAGTAAAATTTTTACGATGCGCGCTCACACCGACAGCCAAAAAGCGACATGATGAAGTTAGCTGCAGTCCTTTTACAAACAGAGAGTTGTGACATACGGGATGAAATTTTTAGCTATTTTTGTTCTGTTACGCCAAAAAAGTATAACTTCTTTCAATACAAATAATGATTGATCTAATTAACGATGCTGCATGCCGTAATTTCCAATTTACTACACCAAGCCCCATTTTTTACACCAAGAAAGAAATGGGTTGATAATGATTATGTGTGCCCCACACATTATAATAATTATTAAATGATGTTTGTAAATTATAATAATACTAGCGGACCCGACAGACGTTGTCCTGTCTACAGGTCTTTAATTTGAAAATTTCAAACTTTTTTTAATAATTTTTTTGATGAAAGATATTATTCAAATTGTGAATCTAAACCATTCCCAGATCCCCTTGAACACACACAAAAAATTTCATCAAAATCGGTCCAGTCGTTTGAGAGAAGTTCAGTGACATACACACTCACAGAAGAATTATATATATAAAGATTGGTGTATGTGTTTTCTGTAAATGTTTAAAATATTGTATTTTACGCAAAAATAAATAAATAAACGATGATATGGGTTTTGAAAAACAAGAAGCAAAAATGAAAGTATATTAATCTATAGCTATACGTACTTTATATTTTATACTATATACCTAAAACAAAGTCGTTCCCGCTGTTTCTACGCCTAGATCTTTTAAATAACGCAGCGGATTTTAGTGCAGTTATTAGCAATAGATGGAGTGATTCAATAGGAAGGTTTGTATGTATGTATAATACATGCATATTATAGTACAGAAAACCCGAGAAATTCAAAGATTTGTATTTCATACTAACTGTTAAAACCGTACCTACGGACAAACGAAAGAGCGAACCGAGGGTGAGTCGCTACTATCTTATATATTTTTGTAGATTTTATTCTCACAAAACAGTAACAAAATATTTTAATAAATATTAAATTAAATGAGTAGGTTCATCCTCTTTCTATAATCTTTCCCATTGTAAAAAATACCAATAAAGAAAAAAGAATTTTATTCAAATATGGAAAATTCATCTGTCGTCAGTGTCATGGACGAGAAAAATCATCAGTTTTATACAATCTTTTACACAGGATGCACGAATAATTAAAAAAAATCTAAAATAATATTTCTTAATATTCTAAATTTACTAAGTATAAGAATATAATATTTTAAAAACGCATAAATATAAACAAAGTAAAATAGCGTATACTATAATATTTGAAGATAAGAAGAAAAGTAAGTAAGAAATGGCGAGCTGTGGTCCGTGTGGTTCCCGTTTTCCTAGTTGTGGCCCGTGTGGTCCATGCGGCCCGTTCGGGCCTTGTGGTCCGTGTGGGCCATGCTGTGGACCGTGTGCGTCACCGTGCTCCCCGTGCCCAGGATTTTGCAAACCTTGCTTCGGGCCTTCTTGCTGTCGTCCTTGCTCAGGACCCTGTGGACCATGTCCACCTTGTGGCCCCTGTGGACCCTGCGGGCCTGGCCCCTGTGGACCTGGACCATGTGGCTTCCGTGGCCCATGTGGACCGTGCGGTCCATGTCCATCGTTTGGCCCATGTTGCTGAGCTATGTGCGTCCTGTGTTGTGTAAAGGCCAGCGGCAAAATATCGAAATTTTGTGATTGTATTAAATGTGGTACCTACTAACATAATAAAATATGTAAAGATTACTTGTACTTTAATTCCCATCGATATCGTAGAAATACTCGTAGTGAGTGAAATAGATTTTTTTTTAAATTGGACTAATCTAATATAAAAATAGGCATACAATATTTTTATATAATTAATGTTTTATATTATTATTGCAGTGTAACAAGATAGACTAATAATCTACAGAGTAATACATAGAAAATGTTAGGCAGCCAAGCATGCACCCGAGTCGCGAGCGAAGCGAAAGAGTCGCTAGTGTTAAATAATACTAGCAAAGTCTCTAGAATATTAAGTTTTATATTTATTTTTTGAACAAATTAAAGTTACACTCGTTTAATTACATAAGTGAATTAAATAGAGGATTTATATGAATATCGTACTAATTCAAAAATCTTGAGTAAAAAGGGCGAGAAATGGTTTTGTTTTTGGATTAATTTACAATATACTATAAATTTTTCAGAAGTTCATATACCTATTCAAAATTATTTTACAATTTAAATGCTCTTCTATTGCTCTGCTAGAAGCAATCCTGTTCACCCGCTCCCACGATTTCCAACAGAAGGTATATCAATAGGCTGCAGGATGCTAACTGTTTAATAATGTTTGTGTTAGACCTCTATGTCATTTTCTATGTAAATATATAAAATGTAATGAATTAGATTATAGACTAACATTAGCTACTTGTAAAATAACTAGAATTTAAAAACTGGTAGACGTTGCTTATCGGATGCCACTATATGTTACAAAATATAAAAACTTATCATACATCAACGTAGTTTGTTTAGATTAATCTAAAAAATAAAATATTTATGATAAATCATCGACATTCATAATTGACCGTCTCTAGTCTCCTTTACTTTTAATCTAAAGAGTTTTCTCTTTTAAAATCTTTTGCACCTAACTGGTAAAAAAAAAGAATCCTAAATTCAAAAAACAAAGACTATTTCTCTTCTACATTGTTTTCTGTTGTCATTACATTTCTGATTTATTGACTGATTTTATTTTTATTATAATACTGAAACACACAAAAAAATATATAACCAATTAAATTTATAAAAATATAGATTAAATTTATAATGCCAGTTCGAAATTGTTGCCTAGGATGCCAAGGACCCATGCCTGGACCGTGTGGACCTGTATCTTTTCGCATGGACGCGTGTATGGGACCATGTTGTGTACACGCTATAGGCGCTAATTGTAGATCGCCTTGCGGAGAACTTGGATGTATACACGGGTTTGTTTACATAATAAATTATATAACATATTTTTTTTAAATCTATTCTTGTGATATAACATGTAATATAAACCAAGTCAATGCCTAGACAGATTTCTATGACTCTACAATCAGCTTAAACTCGTCCACTCCCAAATAAATAACCACAGGTAATGTAGCTTTCAAATTTTTTGAACTTTCGAAAAAAATAGTAATAATAACCTTCCTCCTATCCGACTCAGATTTTAGATTACTTTGCAGTCTTAAGCCTTGGGTACATATACTTGGGATGGAAAACCCTCAGATGATAGAGTGGGTAACTCGGATGATGAGGTAACTCGGATGATCACTTAATGACTATAAAAATGTTAACATAATAAAATAGTGTCATTTAGTAAGTTGGCTAATGGCTATAGATTAATATCCACAAGTACCACTCGTGACTCGATATATCAGGATAAGAAGTAGATACCTACTCTCTACTCTGGCTCATAAACTAAAACTACTCGTTTTCAACCGACTTCAAAAAGGAGGAGGTTCTCAATTCGACTGTATGTTTTTTTTTTATGTTTGTTACCTCAGAACTCCGTCATTTATTAACCGATTTGCAAGTATTTCTATTTCCGTTGATAGTACAGTAGTTCGGTGTTGTTGACCTGATCTGATGGCAAGGCCAGAAGGTGGATGGTGGAACTCTTCAACGGCTAATAGTAGATACTTTGAGTTTGGGCTTATTTTGTTTGATTTGACAAGCCTAACACGTTAGAATCCTTACTTTTCTACTACTGTCTACACTAAAAAGGGAAAAATAAAAACTTTTTAAACAAAAAAATAAAAACCGACTTCAAACAAAAGCACTAAAAAGTAATAAATAACTGATTGGTAGTTTTCATTTACTATACATACCTAATCAAATATTTTCGAAGTCGGTGTGCTTTGGCTAAGTTATTAAAGCCTACCTATTAAATACATACCTAATCCAATATTTCCGAAATCGGTGCCAGCCCATACAAAGCAAAGCACACCGACTTCGAAAATATTTGATTAGGTATGTATAGTAAATGAAAACTACCAATCAGTTATTTATTACTTTTTAGTGCTTTTGTTTGAAGTCGGTTTTTATTTTTTTGTTAAAAAGTTTTTATTCATTAAAAATTGCGTCTTTAATCTAGTTTCATAAAGAAAGGCAAACAAACTTACATACTAATTATTAATTATTAAGGACCTTTTCAGTGTATAAAATATAAACATTTTATTTCAGAGCTCGTGGTGGCTTTGCGGGGTCGTACTATTCCTGCGGTCACGGCTGTGTCGGCGGCTGCACCAACGGACTGTGCGCCTCGTGCTGCGGTCCCGCTTGTAATTAAATAATACAGTATAAGTATATACAAGTGGTATATAGTTAATGTTCACATGAATTTGAGATAATGATATCGAAAATGTTCAATTTTAATAAAATATGCACAAAATTATTTTAGTTTTAATTTTCGATTTTAATACTAGTTTTACCAGATCTTGGGCAAAGCCTAAAGCCAAAGCATTCTGGACCACAATGTTGAATTTGCAAAATCTTGGATTCATATGATGTTGAATTCGTAAAATGTTGACTCCCAAAATGTTGAATTCGTAAAAAGTTGAATTTACTGAACCCACAATGTTGAATTCCTAAAACGTTGAGTTCGCTAAAAGTTGAACTTGCAATATGTTTTTTTAACAATCTATTTCTGATGAACAAAAGTTGGCTGGAAGAGATCTCTTCTAGAGATAAGTCCACCTTTGCATACAACTATTATATTAAAATGTCTGTATATTGTAAGTGCAATAAAGAATATTTTATTATATAAGTATGTTGAATCCCAAAACGTTAATGCAAAAAAGTTGTATCCTAACGATCCGAAAAACAATATACATAAGTACTATCTGAATTGCATAAAAAATGAATTGAAATGAATTTTCATGTGCTTTTTATGAATATTGTTCTGTACTTACTTTAATAAATGAAAATGAAACACAAAACTTGTTTTTTTGTTCGATGTAATTTGTTTTTCGACTTTTGTTTTTCACTATGTCGACATGTTCATACAACAAGGAACAATAATGCTCCCTACTTATCAAATTGTGATCATATTAAACCACTGCTCTTCAAAATACTGTAGAAAATTGTGCTAATTTTCTAAATCAGGCGCAGTATATACAATATGCCGCCAGTCTTCTGTCATATACGTCGGTGAAAGTAACACAAAATAAGAGCACAATCGTACTACTATATTTCTATCATATTTATATTCAAGACTATTGGAGGATATTTTCTTGACCAAGTGACATTGCATTGCCCTTTTTCCAAACTGGGGTGGTAACGAACAATAACTATAAATATCGCAGATAAAAATTCATTTCAATTCAGATTGTATTTATATGTATATTGTTGTTCGGATTGTTAGGATACAATTTTTTGTGTTCAAAATTTAGGATTCAACATATTGCAAGTTCAACTTTTAGCGAACTCAATATTTTAGGAACTTGTCATTGTGGGTCCAGTAAATTCAACTTTTTACGAATTCAACATTTTGGGAGTCAACATTTTACGAATTCAACATCATAAGAATCCAACATTTTGCAAATTCAACATTGTGGTCCAGAATGTGTGTGGGTACGTGCTTGTGTTTTGATTACTTGCGTGCACAAGTGCGTGCTTGTGCGAATCTTATTAGGCTGAATTAGCACTACGGCACACGAGACAGGTAACTGCAGCTGTCTGGTGTAGAGCGGTTTGGTAATCTTCAGTACAAGAGACAGCAGTGTTGTGGAAAGCAGACATTGTGACAAGCTAAGTGAACATTGTGGAAAGCAATTTATATGGGCGTTGCACGTGACTTTCTAAAGGTATTTTCCCTGAGAAGTGGAAGCCGGCCATACACGGACTGCTCGAGCAATTAGACAGTGATCAAAAAACGGACCGCTCTTGCAGTCATAGTCATCAGCTTGAAAAGCTGCCATTGATAACTGCTGGAGCAGTTGATACCAAATACATACCAGTCCATATCGCTTCACGGAATGGTCCCAACTGGCCGTCGCTATGGCTGCTATGACTGGCTGCTCAATTTTTTGGCTGCCTGCAGCCAGGCTGCCTAGTGTGCGGGCTCTATTATGGATAATCTGGCCCTGATTAAACCATATTCCCGTTGACCCCGACAAATCCTTTTTAGCAACCACACCCTGCGAGTATTTAGTTTGGTGGCGAGGGTGTCGGTAACAATGAATTCGAAATACATTTATATTACTTCGACATGGGCAGAAGTAGGTCATGTAATTAAATGCAATCGTCGTACATAGTTATTTTGTACAGAAAACGCCTCAACGTTACGAAAATTTACTAGGTAGGAATTTTATTGAAACGAAACTCCTTTCCCCGTCCTAACTCACAACCTTAATCTTTTTCACAATAAAATTGTACATTAAAATTGAATTTTTATGTAATAAATAATTTGAATTTAATAAAGTGTAGTCGTTTTATATGACGAAGAAAGAAATGGTATCTAAATCGGAATACTTATGTATTATGAAGATATGTCTACGTATTATTATTAAAGTGACAAACAATATAAAAAATAAAAGATAAAAATAGTGACCGGAACGTTTTATTTTTAGACCATCTACCTACATAAATAAACACTTCTATAAATAATATTGAAAACTATCGTTACATGGCAAACTTATAAAATCTTAATCTGTTCTGCTATCCTCAGAGCAAATAACCTTCCGAGCTTACGAGGGTCAGCTGGGACGGAGACCAGCTCTACGTCGACATCGCTGCGTCGTTCCCACTTAGTTGAGTATCTTCGCTCTGGACGGAGCGACCTTCATCAGGTTAACCATGACTTGACTCCACGTCCACACTCAGATTCGGAGCTAGACTCTGAACGGAGCGACTAATTCAGGAATTGCAGCTTGCTTTTCTTCATGACTTACGAAATCTTGACAAATCCGCCATTTTGATAACGATGGCACGCGAATTTTGAAATGGAAATGCAAAATGGCACATTCACACAGCTCTGCGTAATGTTTCACGAAGGACGAGCTTTTAAAGCATGATGGTTAGCAGCAACGATAACAGCACCCGTAGCACGGCGAGCAGCTCGAGTAGCACCCGTAGCACGGAGAGTAGCAGGACTGCAGGAAGGATAGCAAGGCATCTTGGCTTGATTGCTTTTATTTATTATTGAAATAAAACTTGATCTTGTTAAGGTATTGAAGGTTTGAAGTTTGGTTTGTGATTGACCATCTATTCGTTTGTGCTAATAGAGAAATGTTCTAGAATAAAATTTAAATTATTTTTTATTTTTTTAATGTAAAATAAATTGACGAAAAATAATTAAAAAGTTTGGCCGAATAAACAAAAAGTTTTATTTATAACAAATGTTCTTGATTGAAAAAATATTTTAATATCCTAAACACTATATTTCTGCGGTATTTTAGTAACGAGTTGAGTATCTCGCAGATTCCAGGTGACGCTACAGCATCAAGCCGAGGTCCATATGTGCAATGTCATTAAAATTACGGAATAATAAGTTTCGAATGGATTACATCTGTGGCAGGCGCTCATATCTTTTTACCGTCTAGAAAAGGGCTGATAGCCTGCAAACGACTGAACAGATTTTCTTCATTTATAGCTAAGAACACTCTTGATCAAGTTACATTACAAAGAAAAAGCTAAATTAAAATAGGTCCATCCGTTTGGTCGCTACGATGCCACGGAGTGATACAAACATAATATTGTTAAGGTAATTTCAAACTTGTATCATTCCAAATAAAGGTAAAAGTTTCCTTTTCATATTTTAATATGATAATAAAAAAAAACAAATTAGGTATCAATTCTGACTGATTTACCGTTCAGGCTAAATCACTGACACCTAGCGGATGAATCAGCTTATTTCTTTAACGTTAAACAAGTTTTTTTTTTAAATTTCAACTGAAATTAAAAAGACATGTGCTATGGAAAAATATTCATCAACATTTTCAACAGCAAGCTGCTTTTGTACACAGTAAAAAATTCAGAATAGAAACAAATAATTCAAAAAATGTTTTTATTAATAAAATACCAAAACTAAGCATGGCACATAACAATTATCTTTTTTGTATAACCAATACATCAGTGCCAATACTATACTTATATTCTTAGAAACAACAAACGGATACATCCAAAAATATCTTTGCCATAAAAAATTGTTTAACCTGTGTGACCATGTAACATGTGTCATATATTTAATATTACAAGGATCATCATACTCGATATAAATTACATATATTTGTATAATGTATATACATATATCAATAAAATTCGGAGAATGACGAGTTATCTTTGTCTTTTCGGAAAAAGTGGACATTTTTAATTATATTTATACATAGATAAATTGGACTCAGTTATGCAAAAAACAGCCATGTGCGTAAAAGTACCAACAGAGTTATTATAAGCACTTTATTATAATACATAAAATAATTATAAAAAATAACAATACTTATATAAATATTGTTCAATTTTAAAATAACCAGAAAAACAAAACATAACCCAAGTGCAACTATCGACAGAAAAATGCGTAAAACTCTGTTGGTACTTTTACGCACATGGCTGTTTTTTGCATAACTGGGTCCAATTATAAGCTATAACAAAATTACTTTAGGTATTCCGAGAGAGTCTACACTACTCGGTATCCTTGACGACAATTAAATGACATATCACTTACATTATTATTTAATGTTTTATTTGGAAGAAACAAATGCACTATTGAGTATCTTTACCACAAAGCATTTTACCAACTGAGTTTTATAATATATAATTGTGAAAGTTATTACAAGTTTAATATACATTAAAATTGATAATAAGGATTGAAAGACAATGAAATTACCACAAAGAGCCGTAAAAAACTTGCTTGCGTAATTCAAACATTTTATAATAAAGTTAAAACAGAAATAAAACGTGTGAACTTAGAATAATAATTAAAACTTATAATTTTCTTTTTCTTTTGATAATTATAGGCTGTTCATCGTCACTCTCTTCCCTTTCACTCACGACAGGTGACAGGATCTCGGTCGCAGCATCGTTTATATCTACTTCTTCTGCAAATAAAATGTTATTTATTACTGACTAGCGACTTACCCTCGGTGTGCTCGGGTGTGCGTTCACAATTTCATGGGTTATAATTTTTTGCGAGGAACCCTGATTCTTTTTCTACAATAAGCCTAAGTTACTCTTTATACTATCAGATATCTGCCAGTGAAAGTTCCGTCAAAATCGGTCCATCCGTTTCTTATATTAGGCTGAATCAGCAGACATACAGACAGACACAAAATTTTAAAAAAATATTTGTGATTCTTATTAGTACCGTGTATACTTTCATATGCACTTACTAAACAGCTGTTATTTTGACATTACAAACAGACGCTTCAATTTTATTTAACTGTATAGACTAGCCGATCTGACAAGACGTTGTCCTATCCAAATGTCAATAAAGTTGATATATAATCTTTAAATTCATACAAAAAATCTCATAGACAAGCTTTTATTTTTAAAATTACCCAAAAAACTGGCCAAATCATTCCAGCGGTTCTCAAATGAGCTACGCTTTCTAACGAACAGCATTTCATTCTTATTTACATAGACAGATAAAATACAATTTAAAAAAACTGCGTCCTACTTATATGTATTAGACCATACATACCTTCTTCTCTTGTCTCTTCTGTAGGGTCTCTTATATTGAGCACTTCCTGTAATACCGGCGCTTTGATTTTAAAGTCCCTCGCCGTGCCAAGGGATAGATATTGTTTGTAATTCAACTGAAATAATATAAACAAGTTCATATGAATGTTAAGAATCATATGAGTAAAGTAGACTAAATGAATTTTATAATGCAAATATTTTTTGCCCACGACTTCACTCTCATAGTAGGCGGGACGGAGAAAGGTAGTCTATGGCCGTTCCTATGATGCCATCTTTGTCCTTGGCAAGTTTTATAGAAATCTGTTCAGCGGCTTAAGCTAGAAAAAGTTAACAGACAGACAGACAGACAGTTACTTTCTTATTTATAATAAGTATGGATAGACTGACATAAAAACTATTACGGAAACAACAACGTAAATCCATTTACTACTCATCGAGATGTTAACAAATATATATTAAAAAACGAGAGTTACCGTGGGACACGCCGTAGGAACAGAGTTCCTTTCGCTGTTTTTCTTCGGCTCATAAGTTAGGCTACAAAAATTGTGACGAATACCAGGGTATCATAAACATGAAGCAACGTACATTGTACAATGTACATGTTAAAGCTTATCGAAGGTCTGCATAGAGTGCAGTTATTTTGATTTTTGGTTCCCGACGTTTCGAATGCTTTACAGCAATCATGGTCACGGGAGAGACTAAGGTTTTAGACGTCTCAAAGGCGTCATATACTTGTTACAGATTGTGCCTACACACAATTTTACCTACTTTTCCTTTGAGCAAAAATCAAAAGTAAATCCGCACAATAATCCAAAAAGATAGTCTTGTTTAAAACAACAAAAGTTAGTTTCAATAATACACAAAAAATTACATAATTTTCGTTTATATCCTTCACAGTAGAGTATAAAAATAAAACTCACCTTAGCTTTACTTCCTAAAAGTATAACATGTTTGCTGAATTGTTCCGCTTCGAGTACAAGTCGCGGTATGAGCTTAGTGTCTCGAAGAACTTTACTAGCGTTTTGCTGGTGTTGGGAAGACTCCAAGTAAGTTATGAGACTATCAATAACTATTGACAACTTCTTTCCAGTGAACTTGAGCAGCCTGTCAAATCTGTAAAGATAGTACAATAAATAAATACATAAATAGTATTAATATTGAGTGATTGTAAGCTTCTTCAAGATGATTTAGAAAGACGTATGCAATGGTGGGAAATTAACGGTGTGAACTTAAATAAGGAAAAATGTTAACAAGTAAAATTTACTCGAATATCGAGTTACGTTACGTATAAATTCTATATAAAAGAACATGCTTTAGAGACGTTGGAAGTTATTAAGGATCTGGGGGTAACTTTCGATAAAATAATGACTTTTCTTCCCCATATCTATACTAATATTATAAAGAGGTAAAGTTTGTGATCTTGTGAGTTTGTGAGTTTGTGACGTTGTAGGGGGTAATCTCTGGATCTACTGAACCGATTTTAAAAATTCTTTTACCAATAGAAAGCCACGTTCTTTCTGAGTGTCATAGGCTATATATTAACCCGAAGAATGAAAAGGCTTTTTCGTGGTAGTCGAATATGCAAAGTAAGTTGGAGAAAAAACGGTCGAACGAAAACGTTTCTTACGAACGCTGCCTTAACGATGAGAGATATATGATTATGTTCTAGAGAAAAGCCGTAGAGCTTAATAATGCCTACAAAAAATTCAGCGACAGCATATTGCTAACTTTTATATTTAAGTCACAAAAAGTAGTTTTTTATATTAAAAAAATAATTTAAATCGGTAGGTCATGTTTATTGGTCATATTATCAACAATTATGAATTCATAAGAATATATTTTGATAACAAAATAAGTAAACTTATCGTCTATATGTTTAAAACAAAAGACTTTTCCCTTTTACTGCATATAATTTAGACAAACGGTTAAAGGCATAATACAACATATTCGTAGGTATGGACGAACCCGAGCGAGCTGTTTGTCTGTTTTTCTGTTTGTACGGACTAATCTCCAAATCTGTTGGACCGATTTAAATGAAATTTTGCAGGGTGGTACCTTATATCCCCGGTCAACATCTAAGATAAATTTTTCATTCCAGAAAATTAAAGAGTTCCATATAGTAACTTATACAGCTTAGTACACAACAACTTACGCACCTAATTTAGTATTTGGCATGCTGATACCTTATATTGCCGGTCAAACAACAGGTTACTTTTCATCCCGGAAAAATGAACGGTTCCCGTGGGATAGATCTGTTTGTGCTTTTCTAGAGGTGAACCCGAGCGAAGCGAGGGTGAGCCACTAGTAGAATATATAGTAAAACGTGCTTCTAAAATGCTCGGGTTTGTTATACGTAACACTAAGATTTTTAACAGTTTACAAATTAAAAAGCTCCTTTATTTTAGTTTGGTTATGAGTATCTTGGAGTATGGTTCAGTTGTCTGGCGTCCTCACTACGCTACGCATATCCTAAGACTGGAACGTATTCAGAAACGATTTCTGTGGCATCTGGTTTTCAGTGCCGGTAAAGCCAAGAAAATTTCTTCTTACAAAGAAAGGTTGGCCTTCTTCGGAATGACTGCATTGTATGAACGTCGGGAACTTCTGGATATTTTGTTTACTCATAAATTAGTGAACGGCTTTATAGATTGCCCCAAATTGCTAAATAAATTTAGCCTAAGAGTTCCAGTAAGAATACCACGTAAGCCTATTACTCCACTTAGTCCTCCATTTCGCCGAACGATCCTAGGTGCCAATTCCCCAGTCCCACGGTTATGTAAGACTTTAAATTCTTATAGCATAGATGTCGACATATTTGCTGATTCCTTAGCCAATTTCCGCAAAACCATTAGCACCAAATTCCTAAATAAATGCATTATACTACTAGGCCTTTGCGTCTATTCCAGACGATTTATGGTGCAATGTTGGAGATACACCTCTTTTGGTGGCTGTATAGACCGATGCGAGAGCTACATGTCCTACCGCAGACCTGACAGGAGAAGTTTGCGACGGATGGTACTGAGTCGCCTTGACGTCGTCTTTGTCTCTTTTTAGCAAGTGTCGCGAACCCGGTCTCATCGCAGAACTTGCGACCCTCCATAATACTTTTGCGCCACTCCGTTCGATTTTCTGCAAGTCTTTCCCAGTTTCGGTGGTCAATTTTAAAAGTAACCATGTCTCTCTTGGCGCAGTCTTTAAAGCGAAGCAGTGGCCTCCCTACGTTTCTTTTTGCGTTCGCAATCGCACCAAGAAGTACACGTCGTGGTAATCGAGACTGTTCCATTCTGTGCACATGCCCGAGCCAGCGCAAACGTTTCTGTTTTAGAAGCGCGGTCAAACTAGGTAGTTGTGCAATTTCTAGAACTCTCTCGTTTGTCACCCTGTCTTGCCATGAGATGTCCAAGATTTTACGAAGGCAACGCATGTAAAAAGAGTTTATTCGACGTTCGACCTTTGCATACGTTGTCCAGGTTTCAGCTCCGTACAAGAGTATGCTTATAATGGAGGCTTGAAAGACTAACACTTTGGTCTTGGTGGTTAGATATTTGTTTTGCCATACTCTAGTACTAAGCTTCCCGAACATGGTCGCTGCTTTACCGATGCGAATGTCAACCTCTGCATCCAGCGACAGATTGTTCGTTACGGTTGACCCTAGGTAACAAAATCTGTCAACTACCTCTAGCAGCGTACCATTGAGCGAAATTTCTGCGGCCTTAGAAGTGCCTTGTGCTAACACAACTGTCTTCTTTGCGTTTATGGACATGGCGAACAGGGAACAAGCCCGTGAGAATTGATTCACCATATACTGGAGCTCACGTTCGGAATTAGCAACGAAAGCCGCGTCATCGGCATAAAGAAGGCTATCGATGAAAAGATCCTCGCGGCTTCTTTTGGATTTGAGTAGTGAGATGTTAAGCATCCTTCCATCGGTTCTTGTATGTAGATGTATACCCTGTTGATTTTCGTCAAAAGCGGTGCGCAATATGAGCGAAAAATATATACCAAACAGGGTAGGAGCCAAGACGCAGCCCTGTCGAACACCTCTGGAAACATCAAACGGCTTAGATGTTTTACCGCTTAAAACTACTGTGCCCTTCATGTCTTCATGAAAAGATGCAACCAGTCTCAGGAGTTTAGGCGGGCACCCAATACTCTCAAGCGCCGTGTACAAGCCCTTTCTGCTGACCGTATCGAAGGCCTTATTAAGGTCAACGAAAGCTACTACTAAGGGACAGTTTTGTTCTCGACACTTCTCCTGTATTTGGCGAAGTGTGAAAATATTATCCACTGTCGAACGGTTGGAGCGGAAACCACATTGTGACTCAGGATAGATACGTTCAGCAAGCTTTTGGAGTCTTGATAGAACGACTAGACCAAAAAGCTTGCCAACTATGCTCAAAAGAGAGATACCGCGAAAATTGTTACAGTCGCCGCGATCACCTTTCCCTTTGTATAATGTGATGATGTTAGCGTCCCGCATATCCTGAGGCACATGCCCCGCTTCCCAACATTTGCACAATAGATTATGCAGGATTGGTTTCACACATTCGAGCTTTAATATTTCAGCATGGATGCCGTCGCCGCCGGGACTCTTACCGCGCTTAAGCCGATTGACAGCCTTGGTGAAATCCTCTACAGACGGTAGATCATCTAACTCATTCAATACACCCAGTTTTGGTATGCTCTGTGTCGCCTCCGGATGTATGATTACTGGACTTGAGTAGAGATCGGTATAGTGCTCGACCCAACGATCAAGCTGTTTTTGGCTGTCAATAAATGCATTGATAGTCTTAAATAATGTTATAATTGCTAAATTAACTGTGTATCTGCTTATTGAATCATTAAAAAAAACTATTTACTTCTAAAATATATCTATTTTGTATAATATTTTAAGAAACTTTGTTTCTGTGCATGCTGTGTTTATTTGTAAGTAATCACTACATTTAGTTTTATTTTTTTTATATTCTGTGTATTATTGTAAGTGATTGTAAATAAACCTAATAAATAAATAAATAAATATGTCAATAACAAGTTTTGCTTTTGTAAGGGTTTTTGCGAGCAGTTAAGAAAAGGTAAGTTAAAGAATAAATAAAATAAAAAAAATATAAAAAGAGTGGCATCCAATTAAATATCTATCTCTCACTTTAAATAATTCTTATGATTTTATGACATACGATTGATTACAGGTTGTGCTAATAATTGTGGTATGATTTCAAAAATGGATATAAGGATAAGCCTATCTCATACTATACATATTATATTTGGGTGGATGTTTTTATTTAGGGTATTTATATGATATCATTGCTTATTGAGAACTTATTGTTACGAGTATTTTTATGTTGAACAAGTAATATACAAAGTGTCAAAAATACCAATTTTCATGGCGAATAGTTTCAAGGTTAAAGTACTGTAGTGTCATCTACTTACAGTTAAGTTATAGCAATATCCGTCAATCCTAAAGCCAACGCCCGACTGTGTGAAGTCCACACAGTTTGACGACACATTTGGCTCAGTTTGTAGTGAGCCTACTTGCTGTGCCAGCGGTCGCGGGTTCGAGTCCCGCTGGGGGCATTCATTTGTGTGATGAGCATGAATGTTTGTACTCCAGTCATGGGTGTTTGTTTATCTATACATATAATAAAAGTGTAACCGATCGCTGTCTGTACATGGAAGATATTTGAGAAAAAGTACCTTTATTTACGCAATAGAACCCAAAACAATGATTTTTAGAATTTTTGTCTGTTTGTCTGTGCGTTTGTGCGCGCCAATCTCAGAAACGCCTTTACTGATTTGAATGCGGTTATTAATATATTGTAGTAAGCTTCACTTAACATTTAGTATATGTTTTATTTCAATCGATTCATAAATAAAAAAGTTACGTCAATTTAAAGAACCACGACGAACCCGAGCAGAGCGAGGGTGAGTCGCTAGTATTTATAATATGTATGTATTTAAGGTTAAATATGTGACTCGATAGCCCTCCTTCGTATTAAAGGGAGGCCCGTGCCCAGCAGTGGGACGTTAAAAAGGCAGAGTATGAGCACAGACCGTATGGTGACCGCCGTGGCGGGGTCGAGCTGGCGCGCGAGCGCGGCGAGGCAGGCGTAGAGGCGCAGCGCGGCGCCCAGCACGCGGTCGCTGCCGCCGCCCACGCCGCAGCGCAGCGCCGCCGCGCGCGCCGTGTGCGTGCTCAGCTGGCACAACTCGATTATTATTGAGTTGTACAACTCCTTTAGTTCTGCAATTATTAATAATATGTCGGCTGCAGTTTAGTATTAGGGACGCGGCCCCTGGCGGAGTGGGTGGTAATTTTGGATAGGGCAGCTAATAGGGAGTCCAAATATATAAAAAATATTTTGAGGAAACAAAAGAGTCAAAAGTTATTGAGATTTAAAGTTACAACATTTCCATACATTATTTTGACATTACTACCATTTAGACACTTGGAAATGTCAAAACGTCACTTTCAATTGTTAAAATGATCTCCAGACGATTATGTCTTTATTTTTACTTTGCGTGAAATTCGAATTTTCTAGTTTTCTACTCATTTATGGCACTCGCCGGCCGCTACCGCGGCACGCTCGCTCGGCTCGTGCGTTGTGGTAACTGTTCTAACCTAACCTAACCAAGATATGACGAATAATAAATAAATAATATTTTTCTATTTATTTATTTATTATATTTTTCTATTTATTTATTTATGAAAATTATATTTTTCTATTTATTTATTTATTAATATTACCAACAGAAATGGTAAAAATAATCAAATATAATCTGTTGTCATTTAAGCGGTAATGTAAAACAAAGTGACAGTTTTGCTTTTGTCAAAATGTAAGATCATTTTGTTTGTGTTGTTGTGAAATTATTAAAATATTAAATAAAATAAAGCATTAATTGTTGTGAAAATATGTATTGTACATAAAAAAGGATGCGTACTGTTCGTTAAAGGTATGTTTATCTTATCTGTTGTAATCACTTATTTAAGTAAAGAAATGTATGAAAATGTATGGAAATGTTGTAACTTTAAGTCTCAATAACTTTTGACTCTTTTGTTTCCTTAAAATATTTTTTATATATTTGGAATCCCTATCACATCCCCTATCCAGAAATACCACCCACTCCGCCAGAGGCCGCGTCCCTAATACTAAACCTGTGCCAATATGTCTAGCGACTTTCTATACCGTATGTATGTATTTGCCTAACTTCCTATATATTCTATTTGTTATTTAAGTTCATAGTGTAGATAGTCATAAATTTTAGAAAAAACTTGACTACGTTAGAACAAAATTTATTGTGTGTTCAAAATATATCAGAAAATTACACTAAAACTTTGAGTAAATGTTTTATATATAAAATTCTTTTCTATATAAAATTCTATATAAAATGTTTTAAAAGAAAACAATATGGGATATGCATATTACACGACGTAAATTCAATTTCGATGGTTCTTTTTTTATCTGACAGGTAGTAACTTTAACTAAGTCTCATAAAAATTCGGTGTGATGAGCAGAATAGCTCCTCAATATCAATTGTTGCAAAAAAAGTGCTCGCGAGGACTACTATTCGTAGAACTACTAGTTATAATTAAGTTATTATACTTAAGCACGGTGAAGGAAAACATCGTGAGAAAACCTGCATCATGCATGTCTGAGATAACCTAACAAGTTTTCGAAAGACATGTGGAGTCCGCCAACCAGTGTAGTGGACTATGGCCTGATCCCCCTCGTATTGAATGAAGGCCCGTGCCCAGCAGTGGGACGTCAAAAAGGGCTGAATATTACTACTGCTACTATTTAAGCACTCACTTACCTTTATCAATCCGTTGCTGGTGCGTATGTACGGCATTGCTCAGCGCCGCGGTCAGGTCACGTGCTCTGCTCAGCAAATGCTCAGCGCACTTGAAGCGGCTGCTCAGGTGCGCGCACACGTGGCTCAGCACTGAGTGGCCTGAGCGAGAGTCGATTGTGGGGAAGTGGGTTGACTCCCCACTGGATGACGACTGTTCTTCCTCCTTTTTTTATTTAAATTTTTTTATTAAAACTTAGAAAAAATTTATGTTACGAAAATAATTATTGCAAATCTAAATAAAATAAATTGGAAATATTATTTTCCAACTAGCACTTACATATTCTTTACGATATTCATAGAAGCACTAAATGCATAGGAAACTAAAGATCATAAAAAAATTGTTTACCAAACTTCATTATAGAACGACATCAATTCAATCAATCAATGTATATCTAAAATAACTAACTTTTTTTTGAGCTCGCTGAGGAAATCTATTGTTTCTTTTCGCCTTTGCCAGCAGTCATTACGCAAGCAGGGGATAGTGATACTAAACAAATGCAACTGCGACATAAACTATAATACCCCTGAATCCAAATTACCTAACGCACGCGCACACGCACAAATTTTGGGAGTAAAATAGTTTGTAGTGTTTTAATAGATATAATATATTGTCTCATGTACCCCGAGAGAGGGCGTAACCGTCAACGTCACCCGACTGGGACGTGCGTTTGCGCTTGGATCTGGGGGTAGTGGTGAGCAAGTCATAAACTTATCCCTAGTAAGATTTCACTTTTGTAGTAGTGATCTCTACATAGTTCAGACTCACATCAACAACCCCCAACTCCACCGTGAGCTTGTCCAGCAGCTGGGCGAGCAGGGCCGCCTCGCGCTGCTCGCGCCGCGCGGCCGCCAGCAGCGCCGGCACCAGCTGCAGCGACTCCGCCTGCTTACTGCTGCGGACGTGGTCTTCTAGCTTTAGTATTACCTATGGAAATACTTGTTTATTAAATTGTGATTTACCCTCGCTTACCCGTATTGTTTTTTTTAATATTATTACTCTATGTTATGGTACTCTATATTATATTCGCTTATTCATGAAATATACATTACTAGCTACTCAACCTCGCTTCGTTCGGGTTCGTCCCTAGTGAGAAATAATTACAAATCTATCCAACGGGAACCATATATGTTTCGAGATAAAACGTAACCTATGTGCTATTCCAGACTATAATCTATCTCTGTGCTAAATTTCATCTTGATCCGTTCAGCCGTTCTGGCGTGATTAACGAACAGCCATGCGTTTTTCAATTGAAGTTCAATTGAACACAAACGAATATACATAATATACAGACATATAATCTAAAACTGTTTATTTAGTTACACACTAATATTATGAATGTAAAAGTGAGTGGATGAGTGTGTTTGTCTGTATGTTACTTATGGCCGCTACCCGACACTTACAAAAAACCAATGGTTTCGTAAAAAGAATTACCAAAAATCTTAAGATGTTTTCATTATAATTGAATAAAAATTCAAATTCCATCACAAACTCACCCCATTTAGTACATTACAGCCAAGTACAGGTGTTTCCAGCAGAACACAAGCTATTTGTATAAAGGCCGTCAATATTTTCTTCCTGGTCAGATCTAAGTCTTCTTCCTCGGCCTCTGCCTCTAAATAAGTCAACGTTGAGAGTATCTTCTCCAATATGTCTGCTATAGATGCAGATTCGGGCTTATTAGTGATGTCAGCTGAAATATTAAGTTATGTTTAAAAAACAAAGTAATACGATATATTGTTCAAAAACTATATACATTTATGTAGGATTGGTTAAAATAACCATATTTTTATTCTATACAAATAAATTATATTGAAGTTCTGCTCGTAATGTCTAAATAACAGCTTTTTACTAAATGCGTATGAAATTATAAATTTTTCGTTTTTCTATTTATTAATCTGTTTGTTCCGAAACTAATATCCGTACTGATTTTGACGGGACTTTCACTGGCAGATAGCTGATGTTAAGGAGTAACTTAGGCTACTTATTTTTTTTTTTATTAGGATTCCGCTAAAAAAACCCGTACCTAGAGACGCACCCAAACGAAGTGAGGGTAAGTCATCAATTTGTATATATGCCTGTAATAAATTTGGTATGGGTATATGTGTTTTAAGGCATAATAAATTATTAGTTCAATCAATGACAATGTGTCCTTTAATCATCCGATCTTCCCATCTTTAGATACGACACTGCCAAGATTCGAACCTAAAATCTTCTGACTGAATCATACTTTTCACTACCGGTCATACTTTCTGGTATTTTTAGTGCAAAACATCACCTACTATTTTAAAATTATGACATTTTCTTATTTTTTATACCTCAAACAGATAATATTAAAATATTTGAATACTTACTTATACCTGACAAAACGATGTTTATTTTCAATGAATATGTTGGCGATAGTAGTAAAATAAGACTCGTCTTAAACAATTCTAGACATGCAAGTGTCGTACGCTCGTCAAAGTCACACATATGTTGAAACCTATGAGAAAACATAAAAATTTTATACGATTTTTGGTAGGAGCAAAACTTATGGGTTCGCGTCACCGACATGCTACGTGTCGACAGTCTGGCGCAGACTGGCGACCGCAGCGTCATATGTTTTGATTAATAAATAAACTATATCAAAATGTCAATAATTACCTATTGCTCGGAGTGCCAATAGATGTGAAAACCAGACTAATAATAATAATTTCAATTTACAAATTTTGAAATTTTAATTATTCATACTATAACTAATTTAAAAAAACACAGCTATTCCAAAGTTATAAATTTTCACTTCTGTTGGCAGTGCCCATGGCGGCCTATTTGATTTTTTTTATTATTATGTGTAGCTGCTTCGCGGCAAAAATAAATTTCCAGTGAATTGCATAATCATCGACTCCATGTATAAGAAAAAATGTACTAATAAAATCGTAATTTAATATAATGTTTAATATTAATACTTGACCGGTTTCGATCATGGCGACCAATCTTACTAGCAGGGGACATGCAACGTATGTAAAGCTTACATGGCAAAATGAGCAGAATCGCTTAAAAATAAGTGCTCATTTAGTGCTAATTTAGTGCCAAAAGCTAAAATTTGATGCTCTTATAGATTGGCAAAAAATTGGAAACTGCTAGCTTTTGACGACACGTTTGGCTCAGTTTGTAGTGATCCTACTTGCTGTGCCAGCGGTCGGGGGTTCGAGTCCCGCTGGGGGCTTTCATTTGTGTGATGAGCACGAATGTTTGCAGTCCAGTCATGGGTGTTTATATTTATATTTTATAATATGTATGTATTTAAAGTTATATATGTGTAGTGTATCATCTATCTGGTATCCATAACACAATCCTCGTAGCTTACCATGGAACTATATGGCGCTGTGTGTTAATGTCCCCACATATTTATTTTATTTATTTATCATTTTAATTAAGCTAGCAGTGTACTGCCTAATATGCTAACCGCATAACACAGCATTAAGTCAATCTATTATTAATTTAGTGCTCAATCTCAATAGTCGTCAAACCTCAATAGCAAATTATAAGTTTTCTTTTAATTTGCATATCTGATATGGACGAGTGTCACCCCCACCCCAAATGGGTGCCACGGGTGTCACCCACAACACCCACACCAAAACCCCTTAACTATGGCACAGCTAACACACCTGCACACACATCTCTGGTACAGTATTTGCGCAACCCGCACTACATGCGTAGAAACCACACGTTTCTCCATCCTCTCTCCCAACACGCTCTGAATGTTCTTTAACGTGTATAGATGAAAATCACGCTTGCTTCGTATGTAGTTGCGTTGTTCGGTCGACGACCAGCACACTTCTTCACTGGAAACGTACAATTGGAAATATTCTCTGTAAATTATTATGATATTATTTATAGTCTTGATAACAATTTTCGAATAAAGATCAAGAAAAAAATCAAGAGAAGAAGAATAAAGATTCGGGGGTGCAACACCCGAGGTTTGAACTTAGTCCACTTGGGTTTTCGAGCAAACGCATTACCACTGCGCTACCACCATCTTTATGATGATACTATTTAATATACACATACTAATATTATAAAGAGGATAGATTTGATTTGTTGTTTATTTGTTTGTACCGAATAGTTTCCAAAACCATGGAACTGATTTAGATAAAATTTGGTAAGAAGATAGTTTGAGACCCTGGGAAGGACATAGGATAGTTTTTAATATGTGTATAATAATTACTCACCCATATAGTAATTCCAAAATGCGTACACAGAACGGCACATCCCACAAACACGGCAAAGGCTTAAAAGGTCCGGCCCTGTCCTTCATTAAGTTAGACACTTTGGTTTTCTTCGGTGACTTTTGCGACTTATCACTTTTCTGTGTTAAAGTTCTTTTCCCTGAGTTTGTACCTTTATTTTTTTCCGGCGTTTTCTGAGTTTTTTCCGCTACAGTCTCCTGCGATTCGCTTAAAGGTTTACTGTTTTTACCTTTGCCCTTCGCGTCTTTACCTTTTTTCGGTGACTTTTGCTTTTTATTATCCTCTTTTGTTTGACTAGAAAGTGGAATTTTCTTTGTTTTTGGTGAACTCTAAAAGTTGTAAATTCCACAAAATTTTAGTTAAATAATTATAAAGGTTAAGCGAAACGCATTGCAATTTAATTTAATATGTCCCGCATAGTTCGCTTAAGTAAAAAATCTGTTAGAAGGACATTATTTAATATTATTATTATATCTTTTTTAATTTCACGAGCTTTAAGGACCGAGGATATAACACGTCAGCCGGAATCCATCTCTGCATAATATAACAACCCGTAGGGCACTGTCCAAATATGGTCACTGGCCAACACATAGGAGACTATGGACTATGGAAAATATGGAAAACTAAATAGATCCATTCAATACAATCTAGATGACCTAATAGACTACCAGACTATTATCATTCATACCCACCTTAGTGTTTTCCAATAACTGAGTGTGAGCCTTACACAGTTTATGAGTAGACTCCGCGAGGGTGGTATCGGACGTCCACTGCAGTACTTGGTGTGCTATCAGCGCCTCATAACACTGCATGAGCTGTTGAATCTTCAAACTCTTCGCTTTAGACTCTGGTGACAAATCTGTTATGCCTACGTCTTCCTGTAAGCAGATTTTTTGTGTAATGATTTATTCATACTAATATTGTAATTACAAAAGTAATTTCTCTGTCTATATGTTATTTTTTTCACAATTAAACCGCTCAGTAGGTTTGGATGAAGTTTTGCAAAGACATAGATTGTATTCTGGGAACCTTTAATCCCCGCAACGATTATCATGCGAGCGAAACTGCGAGCAAAAACTAGTACTATAGTAGTCAATAAAAACTATTAAATTTTTATTTATTTCTAAAAAAGTGATTCTAAAATTTTACTTCTCTTTTGAGAAGTAAAATTTTAGAATCTCTTCAAACTGGGTGTTCAACCCAGGAACTCAGACGCTGATTATTTTATGTTTAATATTTTACATATCTACATACTTAATGTATGATGATAGTGATAAAAACATGGAATACTGCATAAAGCTAACATTTTAATAAATTTGAAAATTGTGGAAATGAAGCGCTGCTTCTTCTAGTAAGCTTACAAAGAACAAAGAGTAAAAAATTGGCCGTATGCTTGATTGCCACCGTCGTGGTATGAAAAAAACCTACTAGCATGGCTAAAGGAGAGAAACAATGTATCGTACCTAAGAACATTAAACCCCTTATGTTTTCAAATCTTCTATTAAAAAAAATGTTTTGTCAGAATGCATTAAAAAACGTGTGTTTGTAAAACTTATGCACGCACGTAAGAAGTTATACTTCTGTGGCGTAACAGAAAGATTTCATCACAAAAATTTTACTCTCATATTTTTACCATATTAATAAGATCTAATAGATCAGCTTTATAGAGTTTGTTCATGATGTCCTTTATTTTGTTTTTCAAATACGCAGAGCTATCATCGGACGGGCTCGCTAAATAGTCCTCCGTGTCATCCTCACTAACTGGTTGTATGAATTGGGCGAGAACGTACAGCAATCGGCCTATTGGCTCCTGAAAACATAATATTAAATTTCACTTTTCTATATTTAAAATATCCTTTATAGACAAAGACGTTAATAATAATATGTATTTAAAACTAGCGACTCACTCTCGCTTCGCTCGGGTGCGTCCCTACTTTGGTTTTAACGTTTAGTTTAGATTTCTCAGAGATGAAATATTTTCTCGCAGTAAAAAGTATCCTATATGTTAACCCGGATAACCAGCTATCATCATACCAAACTTCATCAACATCCCTCCAGTGGTTTTTCTGTGATACGGTCACAGACAGACAGACAGACAGACCAAAATTCTAAAAACTATAGATTCGGCGTCTGTATTGATAATGATGTCAATTTCAATAAGATTTTCCACACAATATTTAAAGCACTGATTTGGCTAAGTTACAATTTCATAATATGTATAGATTGGCATAATATTAAAGCGAAATACCACTCACTGATTAATTACAAAATGTAAGAAAGTATAAATGCTACAAGCTTGAGCTTTCAATCCACGAAATGGCTAAAAAGGGGGTTGAAAAGTTGTATGAAAAATCGTTATTTTTAAAAATTACAGAGACCATAATTGGAAACAATCCTTATATTTTAAATTAATCTAATTAAAACATCCTCTAGGGATGAAATATAGGGGATGATGTGAAATTGGAGACTACATCGTTTCATAAGTAAGACACATGGAGACATTTTTAAAAGGTGTAAGAATCGTTCCTTCCTATATATAATATAACTAGCTGTGCTCGCGGTATTACCCGCGTTCAATTTGTTTGATTATAAACATCAGTTTTACAATAATGTATATAAGTTTGCCTAAATTGTTGACTTTTATGATTACTGCTCCGCTCCCCTGGGTAATATTATGATTTTTTTTTAATATGTTGGGACATAATACACACCACCATCTAGTTCCATGGTAAGCTACGAGGCCTGTGTTATGGATACCAGATAGTTGATACACTACATATAATTTTAAATACATACATATTATAAATATGAACACCCATGACTGGAGTACAAACATTCGTGCTCATCACACAAATGAATGCCCCCAGCGGACTCGAACCCGCGACCGCTGGCACAACAAGCAGGGTTACTACAAACTGAGCCAAACGTGTCGTCAGAATATATAGCCTATAACCTTCCTCAATGAACGGGCTATCTAATGCAAAAATATTTTATGAGATTAGCGCATTCAAACAAACAAACTCTATCTCTTTATAATATTAGTATAGACACACCCAAACTAAGCAACGTTAAATTACTAGTTTAATTATAACTATAATCATACACTTACAGTTAAAGTCGCTGTTATAGGTGTCTGTTGTACACATTCGTCTAAATTCAACTGTATAATTTCGTCTTCCTCCTGCACGTATTTGCTGAGATGTTCATAAAATAATTCCAATATGGACTCGTGTAGTGCTGGCTTTTCTTTAGCACAATCGTACATTTCTTTAAACATACAAAGGAAATATATTTTAAAATCTTATTCTTGATCGAATGGAGGACACGCAATTCGATGAAGTTCGTGATGATGTTAAGTATATAGGACGCAACAAAAGATTTTTTTTAATCAGTCTCACATACATTTAAATAAAAACATCCACCCGCGTTGTTGAAATAATTACGTTTAATTTATTTTTAAATAGATCTACGTTTGAGCTTAAAATAGCGGTTTGTCTTTTTCGGGATCAACTTTTATTTTAATTTGATAACCTTTGAATTTCACGTGTCGACATAGATTACTAAAAGAATTTTAAAAAGTTACGTGACATATTTTGATAAAGGCATCATTAAATTTTTATTTTTTTAAGAGTCATAATCGCATCCATATTGTATATTTTTCTTAAATAACGCTAGTAATATTGAAAGTTTAGAAAATGGATTTAGAACCAAATTGTAGAAAGAAATAGAAAGCAGTCAATATTTTAAGATCTTACCAGTATATAGAAGTTGCTTTACCGCAGCGTCTTGTACGAGGCATCGCCTCAAAATCGATATCACTTCCAAACATATCGTTTCGTTACGCATACGAGAAGTAACCCTGTATCCGAAATAAGAGTAATAAAATATTTTTAACACCTCGCGGTTAATTTCTAAGAATTCAATTGTTAACCGAGCCACCTGTGGCTCGGCAGACGCTGACAGGTTAATAGCAATCTGTGTTAATTCAAAGATAGTTTAGAATACAAAATATAACGATTGGGTCGGAAAGGGTCTTGCACCTCTGTTATTTTCATGTGCAAATAATTTTCATCATGATTACGACTTATCTTATTGTGAAGGAAAACATCGTGAGGAGACCTGCATGTCTGAGAGAACTCAGCAAGTTTTGGAAAGACATGTGCATTGTGCAGTCCGCCAACCCTCACTTGGCCAGCGTGGTGGACTATGGCCTTTGGCAATTATCAATTCAAGGGCCTGAATTGATAATTGCCTGAAAAAAAGGACTGAATGAGATAAACAAAACATTGAGCACAAATTCAAAAATGTTTAACAGCAACTATTTTTTTAGACATGCAAGTGCCATCCCTATTTTTTTTAAATATACCTACAGAATTGTATAGCGGTTCACATGAGAATCCTATCTACCAAACTGCAAGAAAGCTCCAATGGCCTTTGAGCAAAATGACTATAACATACAAACAAACATGATGAAAATTATAAGGGTTCCGTTTTAGCCTTTTAGCTACGGAACCCTAAAACTACAACTACTAAATATACATACATGGAGCCCTGGCTGGTCGCGTGCATGTCCACAGTTATCTGAGTGAGGTAGGAGTGTCCACTGCAGTCGTCCGCCATGTTCTGGCTCAGCACTGCGCCTTTTGACAGTTTGATGTGACGCAGGACTGTTAGAAAGCCGGATAACGCGAGGCAACGGTATGCGGAATCCCTATAATTTTTTATTAATAATATTAATTTTGTTACAATTTAAAAATAAATAAAAAAAGGGGCTAATATGATGAAACGTCAATTTATTTCGTATTTTTTTATAGAAAAAAGGGACAATCGGATAATCTATCTGATGGTAAATGGTCATTTATAGTTGCTATAACATTGTTAATTACCATCGAAATCAAATTTATTACTAAGCCTACCCAGATAAACTTTTTTCAAAGATGAAGTAAAACGTTAAAAATAAAAAGTATTTGAAGTTATACTTCTTTTGGCACATTTGGAAAAAAATATAAGAGTAAAATTTTTATGATGTGCACGCATTTTTTATGATGGACACCCAAAAAGCGACATGATGAAGTTAACTGCATTCCTTTTACAAACAGAGTTGTTGTGACATACGGGATGAAATCTTTAACTATTACTTCTTACGTGTGTACTTATGTACACACACGTTTTTTTTGTATATATGACATTACCTGGAGTATAGCCCCTTCCTGCAGACCATGACGAGGGCGTCCCGCACGCGCGCACTGAACGCTATCAGCGGCCGGATCGCCTCGTACGTGTTGGCCGAGTGTATGTACGAGCCCAATGGCTGACAGTTCTCCAATATAGTTATCAGTTGGGGGCAGCGCTCGATAGACACCGGGGTTAATTTGCACAGAATATATAGACAATCTGAAAATATAATAAATTAATAATTAAAAGGCATAATAATATAAAAAAAGGAATGCCTAGTATGAAAATGTCATGAGACTTTTTTAGAGAATCAAAAACCTTATTTTTAAGTTTGAATCTCATATCATAGTATTTGAAATGAGTTAAAAGTTTAATAAATTTAAATATTATCACCTGTAAACTGCTGTAAATTCTGATCACTGAACAATCTATCCGAGAGTTGACCCAATATATGTCCAGCTGTCTCCGGCTGTGCTTTGCACAGTCTTACTAAGATAAGCTTCCCATGGGACCAGCACTGGGATGCTGAGGGCTTTAACTTTGATATGGAGAGTAAAGAGAAGGACAGGTTGATGAGACCTAGCACTGTCAGTTGACGGTGGTTTGCACTGGAAGATATAAATTACATATACACAAAAAAAAACATGTTAGAAAACTGTTTTTAAGGAATTTTATTGGATTTATTCATATTTATTATTAGAAACAATATCGTGATTAAATGTAATTTTTGTTCAGTATTAGTAAAAATATCATAATTTTAAAATGGTATAATTTTAATTGTTAGTTAGTCTATAGTTGGATTGCCCCTTACAACGAATTTTAGTTATAAATATATTTGTTTGTTTGTGGTTTTAGAAACTCGATTTAAAGTTTACTCATTTCAGTTGTAATTTTTCTTTCTTTCTTTTTACTGAATAAGTTATTTGTCAAGGGTGTTCTCACATAAATAAAAAAAAAACAACCCTTATGGGAATGGAATAACTCCTTTTAAGAGAACTTGGTATACCTTTTTTACTAAAAAGTAATTGTTAAATAAAACATATCACATCAAATATGTAATACCTTTCAGTTGTCAGCACTTTGAGCACATTGACCACATCCACGTCAGGCGGCAGAACAGATCTCACCCACGATGATTCGTTACTTCTTAACTTATCTGTTATGTTCAATTCAATTGCCGATCTTATAACCTAAAACCAATAACAATGTTATATGAATATAATTTTACCAACAGCGCACATAACACACTATCCCATACAAAATGCTCGGCCTTCATTCTTCGAGCTTAATTTAATTTGCGTCGATCTTAGACGATAGATGGGGTTTTTTACGCAAACTAGATTCACGCTAGTGTTTTAATTTAAAATTTTGAAACTATTATATTTATGTAAATTAATTTTGCAAATTTTATTCAGATAGACTTTATCTGTTTTAGATTGCTACCGCATTTCATACCAAACAATAAAAATTGAAAAGTCAATTTACCTTACGCAGAATTAAAAGTTTCGTTAAGCATAGATATTAAGAAAAAAAATAGTAATAAAAGAAGCTTATAAATTTAAGACTTCAAGTTTCACGAAAAATTCAAATAATGGATCTCAACAACAGCAACACCTATCGACCCCAACTATTACTAAGAACCATCTAGGTCACCCAATAAGTACTTAAAAAAGTCATCAAAATCGGTCAAGCCATTTAAAATAACGCACACCAGAATTATATATAAAAAGGTTACATGTATTCAATCATTATAAAACGATTACATACTTACATCTAAACATACAGATCTAAAATCCGTTCCTTTGTCAGACACAGCGAGAGCTAAATCAATAATGAATGGCGATCTCAATAATTGTGTTTTCGGCCATTGTTTTATATGTTTTCGTATCAGTTCCGGTTCCGCCACGCCTTGGGATATGTGATAGAGGCATGTGGACAAACATCTACTTAATTCTGCGTGACTATATTGTACTGAAAAAATAAAATTAATAAGTGCTTTATTTTCTTATGCTTATATTTCAAATAGTAACTTTCCATCATACTGTCTTAGATTTACTTGAATATTTGACATTTTAAATAAAACTATCTTTTAGGATTTTTTCGCGCATTTCGAACTCGATCTCCCCTCTGAACATGATTGTTGTAAAGCATTCGTTACGTCGGGAACCAAAAATCAAAATAAATCCGCTAAGAAATCCGAAAAGATAGTTTTATTTAAAAAGTAACTATACATTTTTAGATACCCATAGTTTTAGATAAATATATATATTTAAATAATTTCATTTTTGTAGGAGTTATTTAAAATAAAAGCATATCAAATGGACCCAAACATGAACCTAACCAGCATTGAAACTTTGTTTATAGCATAGAAGTAGAACTTTTATAAACTATTTAGGCTTACATTGAAAGGGCCTAGCCGGATAAGCATGGCGAATCGGTCGATAGGTTACCATAGGTTACCATGTCGATAGGTTTTTTTCCAAACAATTTCAAACAAAGCCATAAAAAAAAACTTTCATTATGATTCACGAGATAACAGCCGAATTTTAACAAAAGAAATAAAACTATATTTTTTTATTAGTTTTTTGAAAATATGTAAATAGCAGCGTCACCTACCAGTACCAACTATGTAAATATTTTATGGTCTAAACGTAAATCTCACCGATATCATCAATATCCAATGTAGTAGACTCGGAGTCCTGCGGTGGGGGTTCCAGCTTGCTATAGAGCCTTATATTGAAGTAGTGACTTAGATGTGACAAAACCACCTCTGTATTGTACAACTTGCATAATCTGAAAATATTTTTTAATTATATTATACTTGTGACTGATTCTGTTCACATTTGCCAGTTTCAGTAAGGCAATCCACTAAAAAAAAATGCACTACTGTAAAGGGACAGGGTGGCTTAAAAATTCTTAACAAAAGAGGTTAATATCTATTTTAGTAAATCCTATGAAGCCATTAACAAGAGAATTGAATTGAATTCTAGGATTCAAACCTAGTATCTCAAAATGTACAGGCAATCAATAAGAAAGTTAGACATTTGTATCTTCACATTATTGTCCTTTATTGTTTTACTTAGACCTTAGTAATCTATATTTTACACCAAAATCAAGACACTGTGTACTGAAATGTGTTTGCTAATCTCATGTACTACCCTAATAATTTAAAAACAATGTTTTTTTAAAAATTTTTGTCTAGTTCTTTAAAATAACCTACATGATTAATTTTAATGCAATTTTTGCTATTATTTAGAAAATTACCTCTATTTTTTTATAACATCTACTAGCGACTCACCCTCACTTCACTTAGGTTCGTCCCTAGACCCCCAATATCCACATATACTGACAAAATTTCCCATTTATAATATGTATTACATATAAATACGGATTTATGGGATGATGTGATAATACATATTTTGTTTTGTACTATATATAATGATTGTAGAAAAGACTTCATATACTAGACCAGATAGACAGGTTGCATTCAGTGAATATTTAGTTATTTTATATAAAAATTACTAACTTTAACAATTGATGTACAAGGGGAGGTAACGTTTCTGGTGGTATATCCACTATGTAGGAACATATTTTGTTCACAACCTGTTTATGTTCTGATTTTGGTAGTTGCATGTCTCTGAAATGAACAGATAAGACTATTTAAGTATGTTAATTACCTGCATTATAAACATAAGAGTCAGTATGTAAAGATAACATTAGCACTTCAATATTTGCCAATACAGTAATAATACCCCGACTTACGCTACCCCGTTTTACGCGGTTTTTCTTTTTGATTGCCGCGCGTATCAGCTCTGGGAGCGCTCCGTCATGTTAGTGTAGTTTACGACAGGTTCGAACGTGTTCCGCGTGAAATTGTTTTACATACACAGTGCGTTTTATTATGTCATCCAAAACTTTATATGTATTTATATTCAAAATTGAACAACAAAAGCCGTTGAAAAGCCCGACTTACGCAAATTCGACTTACACGGTTATCGCTCAATCCCACCTATCGCGTAAGTCTGGGGTATTACTATACTATAAAATATATGCATAGCATGTTTGTATATAATTATTGTCTACTATATAATATAGTAATATTACAAAAGTGACTTGCATTTATTGCTGCAAAATCTTTATTTATTTTACTGCTTACAACTTTAATGGTAGTAAAATATCGTGACCTAACAAAGAAATTAATGCTAAAGTTTATATAACTTAAGCCATTAATGATGCTTCACTTTTCCATATTTTCTTTCATTCTTCCATGATTTTAAAATGTAATTATGATAAATTTTTATACTTACTTGAACATACCAGCTAACTGTACCAATTGCTTCTCAGTCCACCGACACTGACATAATGTATGCACACATTGTGTTTTATATTCCTCTCCTGTCATTTCTGATCCACAGTGGTTAACAAGAGTATGAGTACATACAGCATTAAGACACTCTGGTAAAATATCTTTCCATCTGAAATATATTGAAAAAGTTGATAAATAATATACATCTGATTTTTAAGTTGTGCTAATTGTTTTAAAGTATTAAATCACTTGTAATAATAAATAATATAATTTAAATTAAGAATGGTGAATGAAAGCAGGCTGCTCAAGACCTGGATGGCTTGAGTTCATTGGATGATGATAATGATAATTTACTATAAGAAATAAAGCATATTTCAATATATTATTGATTCTTACATCATATTAATGTCACAATCTTCAACTATAGATTGCACACTATCACTGCTCCACCTGACTAAGTGCTCAACAGGCATTCTTGGAAGCTCAAGGCAAACTCTACTTATGACTTCGGCACAATGAGAGATAGACATGGCCTCTTTTCTGACAGTTTTTAAAATTGTGTCTATTACCTAAAAATAAGTAAACTGTTGTATTATTAATCCGTTATTATTTCAAAGAGAAACATATAAATAAAAATCTTTTAAAATATGAATTACCTTAACTTTAATGATGGATGTATTATCAGGCAAGCCCTTAAAAATGCAATCAATTAGATTGCCACCGTCATTACGCAAAATTCTTCGGGGTAAATCTAGTAAAACCTACAAAAGTATATGATTAATGAGCTATATTTATGAGAATAGATTTTAAAGCATCAGTAAGCACTTATGAGACATTGTTAAAAATAGTTAAAATTAATGTATATAATATATATTAAATTTTTATTACTAATTCAGAGATAAAATTAATACCTAAAGTTTTTTCAGCACAATTATCACATAGCAAAATTATAAGCAAAATTAATACATAAAGTTTTTTCAGCACATTAAAAAATAAATTTTTATTTACCTTATCAAGTTTTAATTTACAAAGATTTCGCAATTCTTCCTGTTTACTATTATCTTGAGCGAGTTCTGATATTTTATTAAAAATCTGAGTAGCCTCCATTGCTGAAAAACTATTAACATTAATAATTATTAACAATTTGGATAGTCCTAATTCTATTTTCTTATATTCTATTTATATATTCTTTGCAAGAAATAGTAAACAAATTTTAAACTGACACTTGACAGTCAACACTTTATATATTATGTAGCAATATACTCTATGGTCACCACTGACATTTAATACCAAACTAAACATATAACTATTAGTATTTGTAAAGTATGTAAGAGCTGTTGTTGTTTAAAGTTGTTTAAATTTTTGGTATACGAATGTAGGTACTTAAATAGTAAATAATGTATTTAAATTATAAATGATATAGATCAAATTAATTATTGAAAAACAACAATTATATTGCGTAGTAAAATATATTTTTAATTAAGATGGTATCACTTGTAAGTTGTAACGTCTTTTTGAATGTGACGTCATCACGTCATCGCAGTTTATGTTTAGCGAGGGAGACGTTACGAAATTTAAGACCTTTTATTTTAAATAAGTATACTTTTTAAGTAGGTACAGCACTATGTACAATAATTTTATTCGGGCATTTATGGCTCTATCAGAATTTCAATATTTTTTAATCTCTGATTAGGTTATCAATCGCGAGTGAGACAAAACGTAACGTTACTTTTGGCGGCATTGCTCGAAGCCACAGAAATAGATTTCTTGTGCAATAATCAGCAGCAGTGTATAGTGTATACTAGTTTGTTTTTAAATTTTGCACGACAAACGTAATGGACAGATAGCTCACGGTGACCAGTGGAAAACATGCAGAATTGATTGTGACAAAAATTAAGTGGTATAAATATTTTTAATTATGGAGAATCCAATGGTAAGCGGATTGCGGTCAAGGTCTCGCTCAAAAACACCCTTTTTACGATCCAGCTGCGACCGTGAGAATTGTACAGAGGGTGAAGAACATACGCATCAAAAATCAGGTCGAAAAACTCCTATTAAAAGAAGCACGCCTATCAAGTAAGTTGTTAAATGAAATTAAATTACAAATACTATATAATAAAAAAGTATAAACATAAATTTATATTTTATTTTATAATTTTATAAAATTTACAAAGTAAAAGAAAAGTATTTCTACACATCAGCATAACAGTTAAATTTATAATATTAAAATTGATGTCTTGGAATAACTTGCATATAACTATTTACCCACAAGTATTATCATAATTGAAATAATAGAATAATCTATAATATTTATATCTTTCACATTTAACATTATTTCAATTGTTATTTTAAATAATATTCTACATTTTACATACAATTGATGTTAAATAATATACTACTTAAAATGTAAGCTTAATTCACAATACATCCAGTTATATAATTATTAATTACAAATACATAATATATCTCCATTCAATCCCTTATCAAATTTACTTGACATAGATATAGTAAGTGATTTTTTTAGTTAAAAGTGGTGTTAATTATGATTATCACCTCAAGTAAATATTTGTTTTGATATATATGACATCATACAAGAAGGCTACCAAAGAGGTCACTTATGGTTTTACAACTTTGATGACCTTAACATAAAAACCACTATGACTATGTTTATTTGGTGATGCATACATTTTCTGTTTACTTTTGTTTATATTAAGCAATTCTAAACATATACTAGTGTCTCAACTCTCAATCTTACTGACAATATTAAGAAATGATGTAAATAATATTACTAAAATTCTTGTTTGTGATGAGAAATCACTGATGGTATACACAGTTTAAATATAGGTACAGCTAAATACAGTAAAATTATAAACTCGAAAGTGTATGTGTAGTATGGGAGTGGGTATTTTGCTTACTTATTCATAAACAATCCATTGAATGTCATCATGAGATAACAGGAATTTAATTCAGAAACTATTTTTCATACAAGCAAAGCTAGAAGCAATGACAATTAACGTATAAGATATTAATACAATTATTTATTATTATAAAGTTCACTGATACTTTAAGTGATAGACCTTAGTGAGTGACCTTTTATTATCCTTTTCAATTTTTAATACAATATATGAGAATACTCCTTTTTTAACCTATATTGACTAAAGAGTTTTATTATGTTTTTGTGTTAATAAAATGAATAACTGATAATTATATATTAATGTAATGTGAGAATCACAAATAAATAAACAGTGTATATCTATATTAATATTGTATAGTGAAAGAACTTGAACATAATAATCTCTGGAACGGAAAGCTATAGGCTATTTTCACACTACTACCTTTAGAAGCAGAGTAATTAATTATCAGGAATGTTATAAGCAAAGCCATGAACAAAAAGTGGTTTTAGAATATTATATATTGCCTCCTGTATGTATTTATAGTTCTCATTAACAGCAAATGATGTTTACTCATACCATTAATTATAACATGTAATATCAATGTTTTATTTATTGACTGGCATTGCCCGCGGCTCCGCCCGCGTTTAGATGACCAAAAACCAAATTCTTGGTTTTACATATTAGTATACTCTTACATTGCAGGTTTTGTATTTTTTCTCAGAAATGAGATATTTTCCCGCAGTACAAAGTATCCTATATGTTACCTGGCTAACCAGCTATCGCCATACCAAATTTCATCAAAATCCCGCCAGTGGTTTTTCTGTGATGTGGTAAAAGACAGACAAAAATTCTAAAAACTATAGATTCGGCCTCTGTATTGATAATAATGTCTATTTTAATAAGATTTTCAAAAATATTTAATATACAGATTCGACTTAGTTAGAATTTTATTATATGTATAGATTATATCTTAATTTTTTAAACAGGGTACAAATGCTCTTTAAAAATGGAATGAAATATACAAAAATATTTTCTTTTAAATAAGAGTATGCTACCTTTAACCAATAAAAAGATAATATACATATATAAATTATTGTACTAAATAAAGTATCTTGTTTCAGACAAGTTCCACCTATAAAGAAAACTGTACAAACAGTACCAGAAATAGAAGAAGTTGAACCTCCTCCTCATCGTACACGTCATTCTAGCCGTCAGGCAGAAAAGCTAATCAAGACTTCAGACTACTCTTCTGAAGAAAGTCTTGACAGATTAAAGGGGCATAAAAAGGAAATATACCAAGTAAGTCTACGTAAAATATATCTGATTATCTCAACTAAATGGCTTAAGTTTTTTAATATACCTAGTATTTAAGCGCTGTTAGCCATGAGTAAAGATATGAGATTCTATTTTAGACAAAATAACACATTCACGTGTAAGATATGACTATGTGATAATACTTTAATTCATTCAAACATTTTTTCAATTAAAAATAACGGCAATTTCCAAAATCTATACTTATATTATAAAGAGAACCGATTTAGATTGAAATTTTGTAGGAAGATAGTTAGAAACCCTGGGAAGGACATAGGATACTTTTTATCCCGGAAATCTTCTCTTAAGGGGGTGAAAATAAGGATGAAAGTTTGTATGGGGAATCAACCTAGGGACGAACCCGAGCGGAGCGAAGGTGAGTCGCTAGTAGGTGGTAAGTATTGTAAATAAAAACGACCATTCATATTTTTGTCTTTTGTTCTTAAATAGTGTATTTTGCTCAGTGTACCTTTGTGATACTCTTTTGTTATATAATAGCATTAATAGTTTTTTTATTTAAAAAAAAATCATAATATATTGTTCAAAAGTAACAGAAAACTGTACTAACCCTTTTTTAACTACGGTAGTCAAATATACCTGTTACGGCAATGTATTTAGAAGATGATATGAGAGATAAGTGCGATGTCACATAAATATTCGCCCCTTTTAACTATAGAATAAATTGTATGATATTATTATGCTTACAACAACATATATCCATTTTCATACTAACGCTGTTTTCTGTTCAAATCTATCGAGCTCTGCATTTTTACGGCTTTTTTCGGTACCTAGTTCTTAATCTTTTACTTCAATATAGGTCAATCAAATCAGATAGTTAATCAATCTGTCGCGTAACAGTTTGATTTTTGACACAATAAGCCCAATTGTGTGTTACACTACGCCAGTAAATAAATATAAATGGCATTGCACGTTATCTCGGTCACAATCTCTAATCTGTACAAGGTTAAAGACGCACTTACATATGTATGTATATATACGTCGACTATACATTGTACCTATGTAGGTCTATATACATGGAATGCTGCACGTAGTAGTAGATAATTAAATGCAATTTAGTTCAGTCTATCAAAACAATATAATAATAGTAAGAATTATAATCAATTTTTGAACCATTAATAAACAATATCTTGTTTCTATTTAAATTAAGGTATTTTAGTTACTTTTTTAAAACTATTTTTTGTACATGACGTTTATGATCTACAAAAAAAAAATTAGAAAAACGGTTCACCTTAAAGGCCATACCTGCAACTTCCCGCTAATTCCATTCCTGTGCGCTTAAAATTGTACTTATGGCATTTTTGAGCTCAAAATATAATTTATGTGATATTTTGAGCTCGCAGAGTTCAAAGAAATAATATTTCTATGCATTTGAGCTCTCCCAGCTCGAAAGTCTGATAGAGGTTTCATAGAACACTATTTTTGGAATTTTCAAACCGCAATAACTTTTGAATAGATCAAGCAATTTTCACGCGGTTGACGGCATTCGACGCAGTTTTATTATCCTCATAAGTTATTTTCAGGTTTTAATTGATCGAACCAAAAATTTCGGAGTAATCCCGAAAAAAATCTTTTTTTCGGTTTTCTTTCGTTCACGATATCTCTCGAATTGAAGATCCAGAGATATTTAATTAATTTGCGAATTATTCGAAAACTTTCGAATTATTCGAAATTTTTACGAATTATTCGAAATTTTTCGAATTTCGAATCGAATATTGATATTTACGCGGAGAAGGAAATGTAGGCATCACGCAGCTGCACGCATTTAACTTTATCGACGAATTTTTGTTATTTCGGCTTGCGGAAATCGTCAGATTATATATTTTTCATTATTCTTGCATTATTTCCTTCAAAATAAAAAAAAATTTAGCTACGCTCGAGAATGTCGAGATGACGTTTTTTTTTACAACTTTGTTGCCCTCCCCTTTTTTTACGTCACTCTCAAATTGTCAGATTAGTGGAATATACACTTTTTAGGATGTAATTAACTCACCCTACCTTAATCTGACGCGCTCGAGAATTTCTGGTGGTCAATTTTTTTTTACTAATCTGATCCTGTATCCTTCACGGGCGGCCTTATATATGGGCCTCATGTTTTGTGGAGGTACTTAACCGGGTACAAGGTATCCCCCTGTATATTAATCTGCCGCGCTCGAGTAACTACAGAAAATCCCCTCTAGGGCTCCCCTACTATTAGTAGAGATAAGATAATGATTTGTTTTTTCATCAGTCTCTATATAATAGATATTGCTTCGAAAAAGCTTTTACTTGACACTAAACCATTAAAAATATTTTAAATTAAACTACATATCTTTTCGGATTTTTAAGAAAGTATAAGTAGTATAATTAAATTTTTACAGTGACTTTTTACTTATCTTGATTAATTTTATATACACATACACATCAACACGCTTGCGTCCACTGGTCATGGGCCTCTTCTAGTGGCACGGCCTTGAGTTCGATCTTCTACTCCCATATTAACTATACCGCAATGGGAAATAAGTCATATATAATCTCTATGGTTCGTTCAACTCCGTTCTTTCAAACCATTCGCCTTAATTGAATAACAATTATAATGCACCATAAATAACAATCACTCTGCCTCACAGACGCCCACGCTTAATAAGTGCTTTCCTTTCCACTTGTTCAAGCTACTCATATTACATAAGGGGCATCATGTCGGTTACAGAATTATACAGTAAACTGAAATTATATACATATTATGTTCATTCAAGATTAAAATAAAAATATTTCATATACATATGTATGTATGTATGTAAATGACTTAACTTCTTACAGTTTTCATAAATATAAATATTTGTAATTTTTTTTTACTTTCAAGCTAAAATTACATACGAATTTATTTTCTGCTGACCACTTGCACTATTACCTTTAACTGATTCCTATAACTGAAATTCACTAAGTCTCAACTCTCAGTCGAAGCAATGCACTATTATAAAGAAAAACTAAAAAAATATAGAAGCTGATAATGTAATCATTTTCTTATTTAATTAAAACGTTAGTTGTTGGATACAACTGTACCTAATTAAAAGTGTTACTATACCAATATACCGATAGGGAATTGTTTATTTCATTATAATATAAGGCCGTGTCTTTACTCTGTTCTAAATACGTAACTGTAAAATATAGGTGCGATAAATAAACGATATAAGGTTTTTTTTTTATAATGTCAAAAAGTTAAGACTACAATCATAAAATCATAAAATGTACCAATTTTATCTTATTACTTATCTGTTACTTAATGACGGATATCCGGCATATTATCCCTCCTTCCACACTATGCAGTATCTAAGTATTAGATCCGGTACTACAGTTTTAATCAAATACCTACCAATGAAAATTTCTAGCGCTGCTAAAAATTTTTGACTAACAATGAATAATTATATAGAAATTACATACGAATTTATTTTCTGCTGACCACTTGCACTTTTACCTTTAACTGATTCCTATTACTGAAATTCACTAAGTCTCAACTCTCAGTCGAAGCAATGCACTATTATAAAGAAAAACTAAAAAAATATAGAAGCTGTTAATATTATCATTTACTGATTTAATTAAAACGTTAGTTGTTGGATACAACTGTACCTAATTAAAAGTGTTACTATACCAATATACCGATAGGGAATTGTTTATTTCATTATAATATAAGGCCGTGTCTCTACTCTGTTCTAAATACGTAACTGTAAAATATAGGATGCGATAAATAAACGATATTAGGTTTTTTTTATAATGTCAAAAAGTTAAACTACAATCATATTATAATCATAAAATGTACCAATTTTATCTCATTACTTATCTGTTACTTAATGACGGATATCCGGCATATTATCCCTCCTTCCACACTATGCAGTATGTAAGCATTAGATCCGGTACTACAGTTTTAATCAAATACCTACCAATGAACATTTCTAGCGCTGCTAAAAAATTTAGACTAACAATGAATAATTATATAGAAAATACAAGCAAAATATCGGTTAAACTTTACCATCTATTTAAAATGAACATTTTAATTGTATGTCTCAGTCTTATATGATTTAATTTAATACATTTTCATGTTTAATAATCGATGAAAAAAGTACTTTTGATCGATGCGTTTAATAAGTAATTTTGGGTTTTTGTAAAATTGTAGATATTGCGTGATATATTTTGATCATCGTTAAACAGCAAGCTTTATAAGGAAAATGAAAAGGACATAATATAGCAGGAAAATATATTAAATCCAAATATAACTGAAATTGTACTCCCGCACCGGTTATTTTTAAATTGCCGCCCAACACATATGGGCATTATTATTCCTACCATCTGCGTCCTAACAGTCGTACATTTCTGTCCGAGTTCAAATCGCACTGTGAATACCATAATTTTCCGCGTTTCTTGAATTTAATCTTGACCTAGTTTTCGGTGTTTAATTTAGACTTCCGAGGACTCGACCATCTGAGGTAGGTACGTCTTATTATAAAGTTACTATGGTGATGAGTGAAGGAGCGCAGCCCGCGCAATCAATAAGACGGTTTGGTTTCCAAGAAGTGTAGAGATGTTTAAACGCACTAACAAGGTCAGTTATTGATAAACCCTTAGCTGAATCACGAACTATATTGCAAATATTTTTACATATTTGTGTTAAATTTTCATTTAATAAATCAAGGTTTAAAGATAACGTTAAAATTATAAGAACCTTGTGTTATATTTAAATAGGGATTATGATGTCAACAGTGTTGCTGTGTTATTCTCTTGTTCAATTCTTTTTATATGAAGCAATGGCAATTTGTCAAGTTTATGCAGATACTAGCATTGCCCGCGGCTCCGCCCGCGTTCAGATAACCAAAAACCAAATTCTTAGGTTTTACATATTAATATACTCTTACAATGCAGTTTTTGTATTTTTTCCCAGAAATGAGATATTTTCCCGCGGTAAAAAGTATCCTATATTTTGAGCCGGATAACCAGCTATCATCATACCAAATTTCATCAAAATCTGCCCAGTGGTTTTCTCGTCATGCGGTAACATACAGAAAGACAAAAATTCTAAAAACTATAGATTCGGACTCTGTATCAATAATAATGCCTATTTCAATAAGATTTTCCAAAAAATATTTAATGTACAGATTCAGCTTAGTTAGAATTTTATTATATGTATAGATAACAAAAATAAATTAAAAATGTGTACGAGTTCCCAACTGGTTCAAAATAATCCTAAACTCCCGCATATAATCCAAAAACTCTATTTTCATTTATTTACCTTAAAGACGTCAATATAATAAAAAGAAAACACATTCTTCATCATCCCCCCTGTTTTATAACACTCGTTATCTTTTAACTTTGTATTAAAACTGACACCGCAGCGTATCGGCTGAATACCACGAGGTCATTGACTCAATGCTTGAGTAAAGAATTTCTGCTATCAATAGCGTCCTGAAAAATTTGTTTAATTTAAAAAAGTAAGTATTTTTATATGTTATAAATTACAATTATTGCAGTTTCATCGTATGTTAATGAGTTTAAAAATACTGTTTTATATATATATTTTTTTAAGTTTTTTTTGTAATTGAGATATTCCGACATTTTCTCAAAAATGAGATATTTTTCCGCGGTAAATAGTATCCTATATGTTGACCCGGATAACCAACTATCACCATACCAATTATCATCAAAACTCCAGTGGTTTTTCTGTGATGCGGTAACAGACAGACAGACAGACAGACAAACAGACCAAAATTCTAAAAACCGTAGATTCGGCCGCTGTATCGATAATAATGTTTATTTGAATAAGATTTTCCAAAAAATATTTAATGTACAGATTCAGCTTAGTTACAATTTTATTATATATGTATAGACTAGCGACTCACCCTCGCTCCGGCTCGGGTTCGTCCCTACTTACGTTAAAACGTTTGGTATAGATATCTCAGAGATGAGATATTTTCCCGCAATAAAAAGTATCCTATATGTTGACCCGGATAACCAACTATCATCATACCAAATTTCATCAAAATCCCTCCGTGATGCGGTAACAAACAGACAGATAAAAATTCGAAAAGCTATACGTAGATTCGGCCTCTGTATCGATAATAATGTTTATTTCAATAATATTTTCCAAAAAATATCTAACGTACCTACAGATTCGGTTTAGTTACAATTTTATTATATGTATAGATTTGAATTATGCATTAATAATAATTAATAAGTATATAACATCAGGTAAAAAAGTCAATAATTGCTGCACGTCCGCATGTTATTTGCTGACATATATATTCCAGCTTATTGAGTTAAGTTTCAAGGTCTCGGTTGTGTGTCGAACCTTGATAACGCCAATTATGGCAGGAATTACAAACGAGTGGAGCTCGTGCTATCAATTGTTTATGAAGCACCTGACAAAAGATAAAAAATATACAGGGTAGGTTAATAAATACCAACATTTTTAACCATTTTCAAAAAAGGTAATACGTAGTGTTATATTTTGTTTATGTTACGATGTCTTCGTCTAATTTTAAACAGTGAATCGTTTTCAATTATGTATTCTTTTTTAACACTTCGAGGGTGATCCCATATAATTTCAATAGGAAATTCCACCATTAAAGGTGGGATGATTCATTACACTTAAGGAGATTTTGAAGTCTGTGCTACGTTTGGGTTAAGAAGTAATTGTTATTAAATATATTTTCTATTTAAAGACGTTTTAGAACTACGAGTTTAACCAAACTGATACGTATTTATAAATGCGAAAATTTATTATTACTTCACACTACCGACTCGTCGTATTTGAGTCAAAAAATCTGCGTTACTTTTTATCGATGTACGCAAACGCAGCCATAGGAAAAAGCTAGTTTAAAATAATAGTCTCTACACAGTAAGTTTTTGTTTTCGTCACGTTGGCTAACTCTGACTCACAGCTTCATAGATCGATAGATTGCGCACCGTATTTCAATTAACGCTGCAAGAACTTCTGTTATTGTAGGTAACTAGCTGTTGCCGATGACATCATTGGCAAGTCATTCGTTGTATTTTGGTTTGGAATACATAAGTTTTTTCGTCTTTATTGAAAGAATGATGACCTGCCTTTTTACCAACATCCTTTATATATTTAATATAAAACTATCTTTTCGGATTATTTCGCAGATTTATTTTGATTTTTGGTTCCCGACGTTTCGAATGCTTCACAGCAATCATGGTCACGGGAGAGACTAACGTTATAGACGTCTCATTTTTTAATTTGTTTTAATTGATTTTATTTAAAATGTCAAATATTCGCGTAAATATAAGAAAGTATTTATACATTTTATTTGACAAAGTAGTAGTTTTAGTATGTGAATGTGAATGCTTTGCGTAAAACTTCAAATTAAGATTACAAAATTTAATCGTTGATCTTGTTTTCATATATATTTTTTGTCTGTAGAACGAAGTCAACAGCCAGTATGAGCGAGTGTCAACAAGCAACCAGCAATACAGCACGCTCACCGATGTCACGTTCAGCCCAATCCTCTTGACGCACAACGTGACGCGGAATAGGTAAGTGGCACTATCGAATATCGTGATGAGCATATTTGTAATTGGCTTACGAGAAAGTACCATATACCCTTAAACTTAATAAACATGCTTTAGTAGATTGTTACAACATTCTAATAAAAATGTTATAGAAACATGGTTTAAGTTTGACTTTATTATGTAATTTATATGCCAACTAGCATTGCCCGCGGCTCCGCCTGCGTTCAGATGACCAAAAACCAAATTCTTAGGTTTTACATATTAGTATACTCTTACAATGCAGTTTTTGTATTTTTCTTCAGAAATGAGATATTTTCCCGCGGTAAAGAGTATCCTATATGTTGACCCGGATAACCAGCTATCACCATACCAAATTTCATCAAAATCCCTCCAGTGGTTTTTCTGTGATGCGGTAACAGACAGACAGACAGACAAAAATTCTAAAAACTATAGATTCGGCCACTGTATCGATAATAATGTCGATTTCAATAACATTTTCCAAAAAATATTTAATGTACAGATTCGGCTAAGTTACAATTTTATTATATGTGTAGATGTTATTCACAAAGTTAATCACCTAGTATTTTGGCAAATGTGCCAAGGTCATGCAAAAATGTATAATTTCTTTAAAAATTTCAAACTAACGTCACCACTCGTAATGGGTATATTAGCGCGTCGATGTGACGAGACATTCGCGTCGAGATGATTTCGTATCTATTTTGTTTGTATTCAGATTATTTATTGACAGGTATGAGAAAATGTAATTTATATAAATGGTGTAGTGGCTAGCATGTACGGCGGCTTATCCGGAGGTCCTAGTTTCGAGTTCCGGGTCGGGTCAAGTTTAGTTTTGAGGGTTTAGTTATTGAATCTTTCTGTATAGTAAGCCTCAGTAACAGCCCGGAGTTGGGAAGTTGGCGTCGGTCCTGCGCCATAACTTTCACTGATCGTGTTGAATAGTGTCCCACCGAAGTATGAGAGTGGCAGGAATAGAGTGCACGTTGTGTCTGCGCGCACATTTGTGCACTACAATATCTCCTGCGCAGATTGCTATTCTCAATGAGATTGGGGGCCGTGGCCAAAATCAGTAGGGAGGATATTATTATTATCATTAATGATAGCAAATCATTTGGAACATGTACGTCTAATAAAACTGATTTTATTTCTTAAAATTCAATCCATTCTCATACTAGAACTTAAATACAACGTACATAACTTGCTTATAAAAAAAATATTACGTAAATATTAAGTACATAAAAGAAAAAAGCTAAGTATAAAAATTGGGCGCAAGAGCAGATGTCAACCAACTTTAACAGTTGGCAGTACGTAAATATTAAACATACAAACATTCGTAGCCGCCCTCTTAAACTCGACCGTTATGACTAATGTTATGTTTTACTGGATAAACGTTATGCATTTGAACGAGAGGAAGAGAAGACCAATTTGTCACATCTTTCATAGTGTACTGTACCAACATTAATAATTTTAAAAACAGGACCGTTTTTTAACGTTGACAGTGTTTAGTCTAGATTATGAGGTCATATTTTAACTCCTTTTTAAAAAAATATTTTAAAATCATCTATTGTAAAGAGGAAAAAATAGATTTTTTGTTTGTTTGTATCGAATAGGCTCCGAAACTACTGAACCAATTAACATGAAATTTGCTAAGAAGATAGTTTGAGACCCTGGAATGGACATAGGATAGTTTTTATCCCGGAAATTATACCTTAAAGAGTGAACTTTTGTATGAGGAAGCAACCTAGGGACGAACCCGAGCGAAGCGAGGGTGAGTCGCTAGTTTTAATATAATTTTTATGTCACTTTTATGTATTTAGCAGTTTCATTTTTTTTATTATTATTGACAACTATGATGTAAAATCATATAATTAAATTTATTTATTCTATTTCTTTAATAAATAAAAAATAAAAAATGGTTTTTAAACCATACGAATAATAATATCAAAGAATAATTATAATTATCGTATTAGATTATTGGGTTAGACGAATTATGAGTTGTGACATTTCACATTACCATAAGTACTCATGACCAAATAAGTCGGAGTGTCTTATTGTTTGCTTCCTATACTCCTACGTATAACTACACTGTGGAGCCTTCGAGCGGCATTCGATAATAATAAATCTCGATGATTAGTATGTTGTGTAGTAAATTTTGGCACTTCTCCAATAATCGTTTATAGGGCGTGAAGACAACGTAAGAATAGTATTACGTGCTACAAAGGTGCCTTAAGAATATATTGAAATAGAAATAACAATAAATGGTAGAGTAAATTTTATTGAAGACATTATTCAAACTTATGTTATAAACGCGAAAATGTGTTTGTATGTTTGTCGTTTCAATAGGTTGATGTGAATTTTCGTTTTTTTCAACCGACTTCAAAAAGGAGGAGGTTCTCAATTCATATTTTTTTGTCGGAAATAGTGAATAATACCGTGACAAGTAGGCGGTGACGGGCTTATCTGAGGAACTACTGAATAGATTTTCATGCAGTTTTCAACAATAGAGAGATTAGAGACAAAGGAAATTTATAAAGCTATAATTTGTAAACACCTTACGTATAATGATTTTTGTGAATTAAGTTAGAAAAAAATCATGACTAAAAACTAATATATTAAGTAAATTTATATTTCTTAAGCAGGTCAAGCCGTTTTAGCAGTCCCGCGTATAGTGCGTGCTCTACGGATAGCTCGTTCGCTGAACAAGCACTAGCTGATGCCAGCTTGTTGCTCGAACGCGAGCCGACAACAGAACATTTGCCTTCACGTCTCTACAAAATGGCAGAAGAATATTGGAAGTAAGTAATGAGAACTGTCATGGGACATTTATTTTGTATGATGAACGTTAACTCGACGATGGCAGGTGTTCTTAATCAATTCTTTTATCACACGATTACTTACTAAATGCGAAATGTGTATGTGTGTGTGCTAATATACATGGAGTAACATACAAATAATAATAAAAATTACCAAAAGATGGCGCTGTCTTTATATCTATACATAATAAAATTGTAACTAAGCCGAATCTGTACATTTAATACCTATTTTTTGGTAAATGTTATTGAAATAATCATTATTATCGATACAGAGGCCGAATCTGTAGTTTTTAGAATTTTTGTCTGTCTGTTACCGCTTCACAGAAAAACCACTGGAGTGCTTTTGATCAAATTTAATATGGTGATAGCTGGTTATCTGGGTCAACACATAGGATACTTTTTATTGTGGGAAAATGTCTCATCTCTGAGAAATCGATGCTAAATGCTAAAACGTAAGTAGGGACGAACCCGAGCGGAGCGAGGGTGAATCGCTAGTCTATACATTAATAAAATTGTAACTTAGCCAAATCTGTACATTAAATATTTTTTGAAGAATCTTATTGAAATACACATTATTATCGATACAGAGGCCGAATCTATAGTTTTTAGTATTTTTTGTCTGTCTGTCTGTTACCGCATCACGGAAAACCCACTGGAGAGATTTTGATAAAATTTGGTATGGTGATAGCTGGTTATCCGGCTTAACATATAGGATACTTTTTACCGCGGGAAAATATGTCATTTCTGAGAAAAAATACAAAATCTGCAATGTAAGAGTATACTAATATGTAAAACCTAAGAATTTGGTTTTTGGTCAACTGAACGCGGACGGAGCCGCGGGCATTGCTAGTACATTATAAATACAAAACCGCATCTAGGTACGCGAAGCGAGGGTAATTCGTTAATATGTAAATATTATGGCGAAAATGTTATGGTATTCTCTATATGGTCCCATATACATGTGAAATCAACAAGAGATATTCTGTAAAGTCAAATAATTGAATAACAGCTTAATCATAAAGTTAGAAATATATTATTTTCACTTGATTTGAATAAATGCCGGTTATTACGAGTTTCGTTCACGGAACAAACCCTAATAGATGCGAGCGTGTTGCTCTATCACGATCTAATCCATAACAACAGGCTGTGCTTAGATAGGACATTTTACTTGTGGCGTAATCTCATTTCACAATTCATACCTCACAGGAACTCTCCAATAAATATCTCAAATAATATGATTTATTTTCATAGTTTATTAGGTATAATTGAATAGTTAATCTTTTATTTTGTTATCACAGAATCTAATTGATCATTACTTAAAAACTCATTAAATGTTATAATTTAAGAGCATATTTGTATAAATACTTTTTTATAATTACTAAGATAGCTCCTACGTTTCAATTTTGAATGTTCATATTCAAACCTCATTTCAAGCAATTATTAAAGGAAAATATAAAAATTACTTATATATATTTAAAACTAGTATAAGCAGATGCGTAATATAATTAGGATGTCGACCTAAATTACCAACATCTGTCCCTTGGAATGCGAAATATAACTTACACAGTAAAACTTGTGACTTTTTAATGTAATTGAATTCAGTTCTTTTAACCTTTAAAATGTTAAAATAAAAAATATTTTTAAGATGAAGTACAATTAATTTAACGTTTCAACGCAACACCATCATCTACTTATCTGCTTACGGAATGCTTTGTATCAAACATTAATATAGGTATAAACAAATGTGTATTTTATGGAAAATGGGCTGCCTCATGAAATATGTCGAGGTTTACTTACCACTTTAAATTTTAAAAAAAACTTTTATTTCCTACTTGCTTACCAAATAAATGTATACTAATTGTAAAGTACGTTTATCTACTACTATTTATTTATAAAAGTACGTTATCTATACGGAATTTGTAAAAGTTAAGGGAAAATTCGAAATTAAAAAAAAACAAACGCTACATAAATAAGGGAGAAATGTTGTTCATGTTATTTAGTATACCATTTTGAAATTATACTTCTTTTGACACGTTTGGAAAGAAATATGAGAGTAAAATTTTTACGATGCGCGCGCACACCAACAGCCAAAAAGCGACATGATGAAGTTAGCTGCATTCCTTTTAGAAACAGAATGGTGACATACGGGATAAAGTCTTAGCTATTTTTGTTCTGTTGCGCCAAAAAAGTATAACTTCTTACGTGCGTACATAAGTTCGCGCGTTTTTTTTTTATTTTAATTAAAATTCTTTCATCTGGAAAGCGAATGAAAGAAGTCGACCTTGATTCGAGTCCTTTTAAATCTAATATATAATCAACAAATTGTACATAATTAAAGATTAAATCTATACATATAATAAAATTCTAACTCAGTCGAATTAGTATAATAAATATTTTTTGGAAATTCTTATTGAAATAGCCATTTTTATAGATACAAAGACCGAATCTACAGTTTTTAGAATTTTTGTCTGTCTGTCTGTCTGTATGTCTATTACCGCATCATGAGTAAACCACTGGACAGATTTTGATGAAATTTGGTATGATAATAACTGGCTATCCGGGTCAACATATAGGATACTTTTTACTGCTGGAAAATATCCCATCTCTGAGAAATCAAAGGTAAAGTTAACTAGGGAAGAAGCCAAACGAAGCGAGGGTAAGTCGCTAGTATAGATATAAAACGTTTAGGTCAAAAACTTATTCACTAACCGGAACGACATCTGCGCATTCGTCAATATGAACTGTTGTTAAAATTCGAGATGATAAACACCTGTGTAATGTGTATTCCTTATATGATACGAGAACCATGTTTAACTTTCATTAATTTTTAAGGACTAAGTTTTTGTGGAGATATTTGCTTCTGTTATGTTGGAAAAAACCCGCAAAAACGGAGTTATATCTTCATTACTTGTTGCGCTTCGAGTACAGTTTGATATATTATACATTTTTATACACACCAAAAAATAGCCTCTAACATACGGTGGTACTTAATGTAGCTTCCTATTACTAAAAAGAAATTTAAAAAATCGGATCAGTCATTATTCAATATCACTTAAAAAATAAAACTTTAAAAACCCCCGACCATCTTGGACCGATTTTCATCAAACTTAGCTAAGAACACTTCCGACTCATTCACCTTACAAACAAAGAAAACAAAATCAAAATCGGTTCATCCATTCGGGAGCTACGATGCCACAGACAGACACACACAGAGAGAGAGAGAGAGAGAGAGACGTGAAACTTATAACACCCCGTCGTTTTTGCGTCGGGGGTTAATAAAACGAACTAACAGTGGAATAATGAAGAAATGGCTAAATATGATGCATGCACTATTTGAATGTCGGGCGATTCCTTTATTTTTTGTAGGCTTCGTATTATTATACTAGGTATTATATCACACCAGTTCAACAAACTTAACTGTATAAAATCTAATAATTCTAAGCACGAGTTAACGTTTGTTGAATATGCAAATTATGTTTGCATCACAAATTCACTTGACTTCTTGTTCTATATAACTTTACGATTTTAAAAGAGGACAAATAATAAAAAAAACCTTTAAGTTTCTACTAATAACACCTCACAAGCTTATTATTCATATAATACGTATGTTGCTTTGAATTCATACTTGTTAATAATTAATTATGTACTCAAAATGAGTAACAACATACAACATGGTGTTAGTAAAAAATCTGAATTTTGCATCTCGTATGACTCACTATAAATAATTATGTGCAAAATGAAATATTTCAATCATTTTTTCAAAATATGTAATACTTACCGTTTGCCCACAATACTGCTCGCCTGATTAATTTCTGAACCAGTATAATATAATTTTTTCTCCTAAAGTTATAGATACCCATAGCGCGATGCTAGATAACTTAATCTTACTCGATAAATAATAGGCTATAAAATGCCAAAAGAGTTACTTTTTCTAAAATACTGGAAGTTCCCGAGATTAGTGCATTCACACGAACAAAAATACAAACAAACTTCAGTTTATAGACAATAAAATCAATTTATGCCATTATTTGCACATAAAATATAGTTAAATATTATTCTAGTGAAGTGGGTAATCGTTAAACTATCCGATGTATGAATAAACCTCATTTTTGTTAATTGCCAACGAGCTAAACCTATTGACTAAGATGGTGTTGTTTGATTTATTTTGATTTGTGACATTTCATCTGATTTTTTATACTATTATATCTAATTATCTTTAATAATGACAACTGAAAACGTAGTGACGGTCGAGGGAGTCCTCGTTCTAAGGTATGTTTTAAACTTAAAATTAAAGTTGAATTAATTCAATGGATATCATTTTTATTAGACGTTATCATGAAAAGTTAACCAAATGAGTCAGTCACCACAAGTGTTATTCATCCTTACAAAAACCAAATAGCTGTACATTAGAACATTCTGAGTTTGTCGCGTGTACGAATAGATGCTTAGTACTTAATCCCTCCACGACTGCGGACACGCCGGCGTGTCATTTAACAATAGATTTCTTAGTTTTTTTAGAAATTTAACTGGAGGTGTTAAAACAATAAAGCAACTAAAACCTAACCCTTTCCTGTGATTCAGAGTACAGTTAAAATAAACACAGATCTATATTTGTGTCTGCACTGCAAATGTCAAACGATTGCAGTATGTTAGTCTCATACTTTGGTCCCTCGGGAGTTCATATGACTGAAAATACGTAATCTCCGATAAGTGTATTGTCAATAGTGATAATGTGTATAGTGTATACTGTGTCATGTGAACGATAAATCGGTACTATGAATATAATCTTAAGGTATCGGTGTTGTTCTTTGATTTTTGTTATGTTTATTATTATTGGATGATATTTTTGTTTATATTTTTATAAATATGAAACATTGATGGGTGCTTAGATTGTGAGGAGAAATTGATAACTGTGATCAATTGTTTATATAAAAATTCTATATCAACGTATCTATTACGGATCCTATAAACATCCCGAAAACATCTGTTATTTTGTTTGTGCAACTTATTGAACATGATAGATTTCTCTTCAATTGGTTATAATTATAATAAAGTAAATGCAAAAATACTAATCTTATAGAAAGGCCGTGATATACATAAATCAATGAAGTGATATTATCGTGCTTTAATTATTTCGTTAAACCCCGCGCCCAAAATCAAGTGTACGACATTGTTGTAACTGAATCGGAGATCACCACCTCGCTTCACTCGGGTGCGTCCCTAGGTAATTTTTAAATTTTTTTAACAGAAACCTTAATTCTTTTACTAATATAAAAGTAGCCTATATTACTCCTTATAACATTAGCTATCTACCAGTGAAAGTCCCGTCAAAATCAGTCCATCCGTTTCGGAGATAAGCCGGAACAAACAGACAGACAAAAATATTACAAAATATTTTTTCTTATAAGTACCGTATACAATTTCATATGCATTTAGTAATCGGTTATTATGTGTATAGACTAATTATCTAAAATTATATAGTACAGTAAAACTCGCACGATATCCTTAATAATACCAACTTGAAAACAAAATAATGGTTTTTTCTTTACAGTAAATACCCCAAAACAGATTACACATACTCCCACCTATCGCGCGATCGAGTGGAGCTGGCCCCGGGGCTCGTGGCGATGCCGAACATGTCCCGGCGGCCGCTGTCGCAGGCGCGCTCGTTAAGCGGCCCCGTGGACGAGCCTGACATAGCTGCCAAGAGTGTATGGCAGACCAGCTCGCTGCGGAAGCGTTTTACTGTGAGTTGATCATCTCTAGAATTTCCTATTTAGTTTATAGTTTTAACAATTTAATTTTTAAGTTAAAATGGAAGTGGTATCCCAGAGGTGATGCGTTTGCTTGAAAAGCCGAAAAAAGAAGCGGGTTCACATTCCGGGTCTCGCACCCATGATATTTTCATGTGCGAATCATTTTCAACATGGTTACCACTGGTCTTACGGTGAAGGAAAACATCGAGAGGAAACCTGTATGTCTGAGAGAATCTAACAAGTTTTCGAAAGACATGTGAAATCTGCCAAATCACACCAGCTAACATGGTGGACTATGTCCTAATCCTCCTCGTATTGAAGGGAGGCCCGTGCCTAGGAATGAGACGTTAAAAAATGGCTGAATACATTTATAAGTAATAGTACTTCTCTTCTCTGCCACATACATATACCTCGATTTTTAGGTAATGATTAGTAAATATATGCAACAATTACGATATAATAATTTAAGGTATTATTTTTTGTCAACTATGCGATTAAGCATTTTGGAGCATTTTGTAAGTTGACCGTTGATCCTTTCGGTCCTTGCCCGCTTCATAGGTATTCAGAAATGACTCTAAAAGTCTAAAATACTAACATTATTAGCAACAATATTATATAGGGACCTTTATCAACGCAAAAAGCACCCAAAAGAATGATTATGACTATGATTAGAATTTTTGTCTGTTTGTCTGTGCGTTTGTGAACGCTAATTTCAGAAACGGCTTACCCGATTTAGGTGTAGTTTTTAATAACATATTGTGGTAAGCTTCACTTAACATTTAGTGTTTGTTTCATGTCAATCGGTTCATAAATAAAAATGTTATGCCAATTTAAAGAATCACGTCGAACACTATTGTTCACTTGAATCAGTTGTGGTGTGAGTATGGATGTATGGATGTTTGTTACCCTTTCACGCCAGAGCGGCTGAACGGATCTGGATAAAAGTCTGGAATAACATATATATTTTTATCCCAGAAAAAAGTACAGTTCCCGTGTGATAGATTTGTTTTTGTTTTCCCGAGCAAAGCTAGAGTATGCCGCTAGTTACTACAATAACTTTAATAAGAATGTATATTACATTACACTTTTCTTATATTAAGTATATTTTTTTGCATAATTAGAACAAACAGCACACGTGTGATTGTTATCTTTTCCTTGCATTGTGTCGTTACGTATTATGTAAATCGACATACATAGACTTGAAAGGAAGTTATTACTGATAATAGATTTTTGTTGTATATTTTTTAATCTAACCCTAATCTATTCATATAATAAAATTGTAACTAAGTTGAATCTGTACATTAAATATTTTTTGGAAAATCTAATTGAAATAGACATTATTATCGATACAGAGTCCGAATCTATAATTTTTAGAATTTTTGTCTGTCTGTCTGTTACCGCATCACGAGAAAACCACTGGACAGATTTTGATGAAATTTGGTATGATGATAACTGGTTATCCGAGTCAACATATAGGATACTTTTTACCGCGGGAAAATATCTAATTTCTAAGAAAAAATACAAAAACTGTATTGTAAGAGTATACTAATATGTAAAACTTAAGGGTTTTTGGTCATCTGAACGCGGGTGGAGCCGTGGGCAATGCTAGTATTTCTTAACTTGAAGAAACGATAACTGTACATCTCAAATATCATCTCTACTAAATTGATTAATACATGAAAATATGTAGTACGTTGTTTTTTTTTAAATACAAACATTGATTACAAGCATATCGAAAAACATAACATTTTATGATTATATTTTCTAAATAAGAATAAATAAATAATAATTATATTTATTTCCAGTCAATAGACAGTTCAGACGATGAGGGCGCTTACGTACGCAATGGCTTCACTAAAACGGACGAACGATGGTGGATCACGCGGTTGATAGCTACCGTCCTCACAACCATCACAACGAGTGCAAGCAACGCTTATAGAAAAGTTGTGGGGCCATCCCACAGATACCCTTACACTGATCGAAGACCGGCCAAATGTAAGTATAAAACAGTTTATTTACCCCATTGTATTTGTATAAATAATAAAATTCAAAGTCGAATCTATACAAAAAATTAAATATTTTTCGAAAAATCTTACTGAAATAAAGATTATAGTAACTGCTGCTGCTGGCTGCCAGCTGGCAGTTGCGGCTGAATCTATAGTTTTTAGAATTTTTGTCTGTCTGTGATCGCATCATGAAAGAACCACTTTTTGATGAAACCACGGTTTTCATGAAACTTTGTATGGTAGTTATCCTAATCTAGGTCAACATATATTTTACTGGAGGTTTGTTTTTATTTTTCACTTGGGACGAACCCGAACGAAGCGAGGATGAGCTGCTAGTATTAAATAAAACTATCTTTTTGAATTCGGGTATTCTCTCCCGTGACCATGATTGTTGGAAAACATTTGAACCGTCGGGAACTAAAAATCAAAATAAATTCCAAAAAAATCCGTAAAGATAATTTTATTTAAAATGTTAATTATTGGCGTAAATCTTAGACATTTTTTTTTTATAAACTAAAATACGTATAAGTTACACAATAGGTGAAAAGAAAGTAACTAAGAAAAGTCTTTTCTAGTGTCTAACTGCTGGCACCGACTTCGAAAATATCTGATTTGGTATCTATTGTAAACGAAAACCCCTGTTCAGTTATTTTTTACTTTTTAGGGCCTTTATTGAAGTCGGTATAATTTCTTTTTAATTATTTCTTTTTATCAAAAGAATAACATAATATGGATGGAAAAATACAGTGTATAATAAAAATCATTTAATTCCAGCCAGCATTGTATCTCGAACGGCATCTGCAGCAGCAACGCCCTTCTACTGGCTGTACACTGTTATCAAGACCATCGTCACCACGACAGTTACTACCATCACTGAAACTGTAAGTGAAATAAATAAATATGTAGGGACATTAACACACAGCGTCATCTAGTTCCATGGTAAGCTACGAAGTTTGTGTTATGGATACCAGATAGTTGATACACTACACATATAACTTTAAATACATACATATTATAAAATCAGACTACTGTATATAATTTTTTTTTAATCCCGCTAACAAAAGGAACTTAACGAGTCTCATCTGAAGAAGGTCTAGGAAGAGTCGAAAGTATTAATAAAGTAAAGCAGAATGGTGTCGTTAATTTTAACATCGTCAAATAAAAATAAAATATATGTAACAGTAAACAATTCAGTGTTATTGAATTTGAGTAAAATTGTTACTATTGGGCACAAACAAGCCTCCCTTCAATACGAGGGGGATCAGGCCATAGCCCACCACGCTGGCCAAGTGCGGGTTGGCGGACTGCATATGTCTTTCGAAAATTTGCTAGTTTCTTTCAGACATCAGGTTTCTCAACAATATCATCCTCATGTTGGAATGTTTCGCACATGAAAATTTCAGTGGTGCGAGACCCGGGATTTTAACCCGTTTACTTGGTTTCCCAAGCGAGGGCGTTACCACTGGGATTACCACTACTTAGTATTGAGAATTGCCTACTGGTGACCCAAATCGTAATCTATATAATATAGCTTAAGATTTTTAATAGTAACACCAACATCATATAATATACATAATATAAGAATGAAAATAAAGGATTCATATATTTTATGGTCAAGTCACATTTTAATATCAATAATATTTATTTTTTAATATTTTTTAAGATATCATCCAGCGAAGTGAACGAGAGTGGCAAGTATGCGAGGCGGTACAGCGAGAATGCAGTGGCCAAGAGGCGTTGGTGGCCGTGGATGCTGCTGTTCCTACTGCCTACACTGGGTTATGGCTGTGAGTAGATTTTCTATTATTATTTAGGCTAAAATGCGGCCATTTTAATATTATAATATGTGTATTATTTGTACTATGTTTTTATGTCAGACTAAGGAATAATATAGGCAGTGTCATAGAAGTTATGTATAAAAACAATAATGATTTAAATATATATATATATATTATGTTTTAAAACAAAATGCTATTATTAATAGAATATTCATTGCTGTGATAAGTTGCTAAATGTTATTAAAATACCTAACGTACTTTTTTATAATAATAAAAAAAAAGCTGATAAAATAGCTCTTTCAAAGGAAATACTGCTTGATGCAATATAACAAAAAAAAATTTAAACTCCTCATTATCTAAAGAAAGTAAATAATCTATATAGCAAAATCGATAATAGTATGATAGATCTATAATATACAATATACATAAACAAACGCTATTTTTTTTACTTTTCTTAGTAGGCTCCTTCTATATGATTCTTTAGTCTGCGGTTTTAGGATAGATGCTTAAATATTATTTAAATAAATAGTAAATTTTAATTAATTAATCCTAAGAGTGATTGTTAATATTGACGAATTGAATAAAATATTTCTGTAGTAAAGTACATATTGTACATATCAGTTATTTAAAATAACTTTATAACCACAAATTCCTTTCAGCATACTACACGTACGAAAACTACGAACATCTCGTTATGCCAAACTTTACCGATTTTCACTTAGACCTGACCGAGTTCTCTGCTAAATTACCAAACCTTGTGCCGAATATAACCCTGCCAAAGTTAAATCTCACTCTGCCAGATATAAATATAACTTTGCCAGACATCACTGACAATATGCCAAGGGTGACTCATACATATAGAGTGTACAAGGAGGTGGTACAGAATAGAGTGTCAGAGGCTTCTGATTACGTAACGATAGTGGCAGAAAGTTGTTGGGAAGAGATTCGACGGTTCTGGCACGGTGTTATTGGATGATTGTAAAATTTTATGTTTAGTTTAGTTTAAGCAACCACAATAATGTAGACTTATAAATGTTTACATCGTCCACATTTACAGTGTTAGGTATAATCTAGAAAATTAATATATTAAATATGTAAGCATATATAAAAATGAAAGTAACATTAGGTAAAACATATAATAATACTTAAGAATTACATAGAATTTAATACTATTAAATTTCTATGTTCGTCATGATAGAAGATTCAAAGTAAAATCGTCCGTCACTCATCAGCTTACTGGATGAAAAATATTCTTTATAAACTTAATATCTTAATATTAAAAGAAAAATATGGTTGTCAAGTTGTTTTCTATAGAAGAGCAGCCAAAAAAGTGCCCCACTATTTGTTATGGTAGAAAAAGATGCAATTGGGATTTTTAGCTATTAATAATCTTTGAATATACTTCTTTAGACAACCCATCTGCGATATGTTACATTATTATATTCAATACAAAATAGTTTTTGTTCGATAAGCTGATAGATAATAGTCGAACTAACTTCGGATCTTAGACTACATATTAGAGGCTATTTAAAGTATCTATGATGTTACAAAAGTGTATAACTTCCGCATGTCATAATTAGAAAATATCTTGATTAAAATTAGAAGTATTTTTAAATCATATTGTAAAATATCATTTTTTTATTTGATATTTACATTTTATCTAGAAATTTACCTACTTTCCTAGTTTCAAATGTTCACTTTTCACCAATTTGCTTATCTACCACAGGTAATTAAAACCTACATGTATTACATATTATATTTTATTTTTACATTATTGTGGTTGCTGGTATAAATTATTCATGTTCACGTTTAGAAAATAGCTAACATTTATTTAAAGTTAATGGAACTTTTTTATTTATTTATTTTTTTGCTGCTACTACATAAAACATAAGTCATTTTTTTTGTTTTCTGTACCTGATTAAATTTAAATATTTATAACAGTATAAGTCTAAAAAAAAAAGAACAGATAAGTGGAAAGTTCAATAATGATTTGCAGTTTTTGGGAACGCAGAATTATTTCTAATATTTTTTTTGTTTATTTTATAGTAATACTTAAAAGGTATACTTTTTTAACTATCGATCTCCTTTTGGCCAGTTAAGATTCTGTAATTAAATCAACCAAATTATATTATAATTTTGTTTAGAAAAACAAATATCTATTTTTTAAACGGGAACTACATACTTATTATAATGCTTTTAATGTGCGTACTTAATGCAAGTGTTTAGTTCATTCCTTAAAAAATAATCATATTAATATATTTTTTAAATATAATATTGAAGCTATTGTAAGAAGCGATTGAAGGTTTTTAATATTAAAAAAACCTATTAACTTATTTAAAATTGATATGAATTTAAATTAACACAAAAAAATGGGTTATAATAATAAAATATGCAAGTTAATATTAAAGAAAATATTTTTTCGTCGATCTTTTTCTATAATTTAATAACAAATAAGTACACAAAAAAAATTGTGTGTTTCAAATGCTTTAAATATCAACTAATATGCTCTCTTTCCTCCCATACATACATACATATATCGCAAGATAAAAGTTATATGAAATTATCTAAAGAAGATAAATACATAAAACTTACATTTTTATATGTTATTTCATTTTAACCATTTAAGAGCCTTCAATCTATAAAGCTATTAGTATCTCTTAAAGTCATTACATCTCTTGTCATTGTGAAATTGTAGTACAAATGAAAATATTTATATCCTATTTTTGTAGAGTGGAATTATTTATATATAATTAATTATATTATTTAACTTTAAGTCTAATAAACTAATTGTGCTATATTTCTTACTAAGCTCTATACAATTTGCTTAGTAATAGGGAATATGCGTGTGATTTAAATAAAGGTGAATATTTTTTTTCTAATCTTTATTGCTTTTGAATTAAGCCTATTTTAATTCAATTTCTTTTTGATTAAGATAATAATCATTAAAAAGTGCAAAAACAGGTGGGAAATTCAAAGTAGTTGAAACACCACGCCATTGGTCAGACCGAATGTGACATCAAAGTCTATAATAACAGAGCCAGTGTTGCCAATTTTAAACAAGTCTTCTTTTTTTAGCGACAATATCGCCAAGGGCGCCAAAACGACGATCGTTTAAAGTATCCGTATCAGTATGTTATTTAAAAAAAGTGTGATACTAAATTTTAGTTTTTTGCACATGGATATTTTTTTTACAATTATATAACGATATCGTATAAAAAAATCACGCATATTCCCTATTAGATATTATATATTAAATAAACAAAACTCTACAGTGATGTAGATTAAACTTTTTAAGAGTCATATCACCCACCTATTGATTATAATCAAATAAACAAGCTCAATGATAAATGTTTTAAAAAGTGCATATAATAAAAACCAAACACACTAATAGTTGAACTAATATTTTTTAAAACAAATGAATATATTATTATATATTATGTATACATTTAAAGGTGTTTCATATTTTAATTATATTGTCTCTATATAAATATAGATATTATTATATAAAAATATAAGAATATATTGTATTAATATAATTTAAGAAGCGAGTTTTTGTTTTAAAACGTTTATTTGCTTTGCAATGCATGCTGATTATGTTAAGCTTTAAATTAATGTACCTTACTGAAAATTGTGTTGCCATGAGATTCTCTTTTATTTGATGTTGAATATTCTATGTCTAATATTATTAACAACTAGTCTTATTTCTTCCAATGTGTTTAAAAATATTACAAATCTATTTTTTTTTGTATAATTTATTAATTAGTCATAAGACAGTATATGAATCCATTTGAAGAACCTGATTTATTTTTATTGAAATATTTATAATATTTGTGTAATATTTATTATATTTTATTTATTCAAATAATGCATTCTCTGTAATTCTCATAAAATATTTGAAAAATCACATATTAATATATATCAACAATATTGATTTATATCACTAAGTCACAATATCACTCATGTTAAAATAAGAAATTTAAATTTTAATATGGTTTGGCTAAAACTAAGATATATTTATGTGTAATTATACTAATTACTGGGCTATTTTTGATTGAATTATAATTATTTTGTATAAGCCGAGTGTTTTCCTTACCCATTCCCACATAATTCTTCCCAGCAGACCAATATTAGTAAAAATATTCGGGGAAGGATAGAGGTTACGTCACCTATTGAAAGTGGTCGTAGGACGCAACACTTTTAGGTGAGTTCATAATATTATTATTACATACAATTAACTCTGTCCTTCCCTGAGTATTATCTATGCATTAGTCAATTATGTGGGAAGGACGGAGATATATACTGGAAAACTAACATACACTTTTATTTCCAGGCTACCACTATAAGGACCAGATTCTACCAAATGAAGATATAGTAGACACGTACAAACCTCCAGAAATAGTTCACAACTCTGACTTGACGAAACGGGTAGCTGCCTTAGAAACTTGGGCCGTAAATGTCGATAATAGACTAAAATTCTTCGATCAAAAATTATCCAAGATCGACAATTTAGAGGCGACTGTAGAACAGTATTCGTTTAAGCACTTACAGCAAAATCTTATAACGATTCTCAGTAATAATGACAATAGTGATGCTATAGCCGCCAAGCTTAAGCAGCATTTTGACAGAAATTATGTAACGAATGAACAAATGCAAGTACTGAGTCAACAAATACACGAACGGCTGATAAATTCGTGGAAACCAGAAATGGATGAAGATACAATACGACAAATAGTGCAAGAATACTTAAGGTCTACGGAAAGACGGCAAATGGAGTTGATTGTAGAGAAAGTGAACGAGTATGTAAGGGAAGTTGAGACCAGACCAGCTGAAGTAAGGATGAAGGTCGATTTGGAAGAAATAAAAAAAATGGTGGTCGGCATGTTAGATGTTTATGACGCTGATAAAACTGGACTCGTCGATTATGCTTTGGAATCCGCTGGTAAGTTGTTAGTTATTTGTAAGCATATATAGTCTATTGTTTTTTTAGGTTCATAAAGTCGAATAGACGTTTATTCACCCATTTTGATAAATACAACTGAGTATATATCACAAGAATAAAACAGGAAATAATAGCTTAAAAAATGGTTTTAGAGATTCGGTGGGATAGTAAAAAATACTTGGGCTGAGCTTTCTAAACACGTTGCACACATTTTTTTTCGTTGGCCGGCACATTAATGTTTGGGCCCACTTACAATTAGTATGAAACATGAATGGATTTACTATGTCTTGTAGTTCTTACTAAGGTTGTCTTTTAAGTATTCAGTTGATATATTCTTATTAAAATCTGTCAACAAAAACATTTACTTTGTCAAAGAATTGAGAAAATAGTATAAACAGCATTGATTTCAATTCTAGTTTTATTTCATGTAAGGATAAAACTAGCGACGAATGCGTCTCTTTGTGCCTAACAGTCAGGACTCGGATACCCATTCAATTTTTTATCTGTTTTTGGTCACTGACCCCAAACCGAAAGACATTTCGGTTTAAGGTTCCGGCTACGTTCTTTAACCGGTTAAATCCGGGAGAACGGTTTTTGACGAATTTAGGTTCCATAACCAAAATTAACCGGTTAAAATGAGTTTTTATGCGTTTACATTTGGCGCGTCTTTGGCAATGGTGAATGGCTTAGTAATAGGATACATGTACGTTTTTAACCGGTTTATTTCGATATCAAAACCGAAATCCAACCTTTCTCTAAGAATAACCGTTAACCATCATTATTTTGCTTTACTAAACTGTTCGTTTCTATTTATCGGTTATCGTAAACCGATGAATTATACCATTACGTTACTGAAATAAACCGTTTTTTTAACCGGTTTCAAACCCTGCTAACGGTAGCCTATTTGTTACATTAGGTCATAGTTTGTGTATTCATCCAAATCCGTCCAGCCGTTTTAGTGTGGAGAAGTAACACACATACACACATTAAATTTTTCGTATTTGTAATAATAGTTATATTTAATATTTTTCACAATTCCAGGCGGACAAATAATATCAACGAGATGCACAGAGTTGTACCAAATCAAGACGAAGCAGTACTCCATCCTGGGGTTGCCGGTGTGGTGGGTGTACACTTCGCCGCGCTACGCGCTCACGCCCGGCGCCATGCCCGCAGAGTGCTGGGCCTTCCAGGGATTCCCCGGGTATCTGGGTTAGTGTTTGACTTCACATATTACTTCACTAGCTTCTCTATATTTGGATGGTTGGTGTAAATATATCCATGTCACTAAATGTCAATTTTACAGGGCCTTAATTTTAAAGTTTAGCCAGTTTTATTAAATCAAGTTATTTTTCAAATTTATTCACTTACAGTTAAAAAAAATATTTTATAAAAACTTGCATGTCTGAAAGTACCTTACTAGCTTTGGACAGATGTGTGAAGTTCGCTAACCCCCGTTTAGACAGCGTGGTGGACGATGACCCGATCCCTCTCGTATTTAGGGGTGTCCTGTGCCCAGCAGTGGGACCTTAAAGAGGTTGAATATAGAGTAAAGTAGCTACGAGTGACAGACGATAAAGAGATTAAAATATATATATATATATGTAAACTTTTGTGATTAATTCTGAGGAAAAACAACTAGAAACTCACTAGGAATTAGGTAGCTAATATTGTAGAGTTATAATTCTGATATAATGATACATAACCTATTAAATTCGTTTCAAAAGCTTTAAAATCAATTTCTTTTGTCTTAGTATTACGCACATACGCGATCATCGAGGTGACGGGATTCTCGCTGGAACATATGTCAAGACTGTTGGCCGTCGATGGAAAAATTGAATCTGCGCCTAAAAACTTTTCAGTCTACGTAAGTATATAATAAATAGTTCAACAAGTTTTTTCTTAGTTTTGTAGCTTTTAGATAATTTGGGAGGCGACAGTGTTATACGTGCAAATGAAACGACACTAATACGTGCCTTTCGAGACAGGGTTCACGTGCATACGATACTTCTTGATGCGTACTGCCGTTTAATTATATTGATATAAGCATTGAGAGACAATATGAACACACATTTGGAGGGAAAAGCAATAGCATTCTGTCTCTATCTTTTAGCACACTAAAATGTATGAGTGTTTATAGTTTTAATATCTTTGTACTTAATTAAACAGAACAATTTTCACAGGGTCTCCATGGTGAGTTGGATTCTGAACCGCATCTTTTTGGCGATTACATGTATGATGCGAACGGTACATCCATACAATACTTTCCAGTTAAATACCCGAAAACAACTAATATAGGTGGTGTTGAATACCCCGTAGCCTACGACATAATAGAACTTCGAGTGGAGAGTAACCATGGCAACCCCACTTACACCTGTGTGTACAGATTCAGGGTTCACGGCAACCCTCTCAATGATATCAGGCAAGCTACTGAAGATAGTATAAGGGACAGTGAGACATAACATAAAATTTCAATATAGTGAAGTGAATAAAACGTCCAGAAGCACTGTGTTCAAAGTTTCGGATATAAGATAGTAATGTTCCTTACATACGCTATTGAAAATATTGTTTTATTTTCTGTCAGTTTAATAATATTGTGCATATCACCAAATAAACCTCATAAAATTAGATTTTTCTCGTTCTTTTTCTATGTAATAAATATGTTGTGATCTAGTACTTTCTATAGTGTATGTAAGTGTCTAAATGTGGCCTTATAATTAATATTAGGTCTAAAGTACAAAAAATTGAGTTCACTCGTATATTATAATATAATGTAATAGAACTAAGCAGGGATTTGTGCGTTGAAGCGACTTGAAATATGTAATGACGATGCATGCTATATTGTGACACTGACCGCAGGCGCCGAGAGGGTGCTGCATAGGAGTGCATTTTCACCCCCTTGCCATAAAGGAAAACATGTAGAACAAGTAAAAAAATTATCTTTATATGAGTAAAATCATTTATTTAAATTTCGATATCTGTGAATGAAAGAAAAAAAAATATTCATCACACTTTAAAAAATATATACATATATTTATAAATCAAAATTATAATAATTCATTTAAAGCTTAGTAGTTTAATATGAAGAACCCCCCGGAAATAACTCTGCGGCGCCCATGTAAATGACAATATTACACACTCATATCTAATACCTATACAACTAGCACCCATAAAATTTAGAGATGTGAGAGCAAAATTAAAAATGGAGGACTCTTTCAATCTCTTTTCTTCAGAAGTCTCGAAGTAGGTAAGAGAGAGACTGAAAATATATGTCCAAAATGATTCTGCCTTCTCAAGTAGGGTACTTGTTATTAGATTTATTATTTATATATACGTCTTAAATTTGACAAACTATGACTTAGTCCTATAGAGTTTATATTATGTGACACAATATTTTTAAATAATTTTAATTGTATACAAGTTTGGATAAATTCTTACAATGTAGATAACAAAATAATCAAAAAATATTGTTTTCAATTAACATTAATTACACTTTGTACAGAATTTTTAATATTTGTATAGAAAAAAATGAGACCTCAAAAAGCATCATGTTTCTACCAAAACTAGATAGCTATGAAATATTGATTTTAAAACAGATACTTATACACTTGTAAATAAATAATTTTATTAACATGTATTTCTTTATTTTAATTAAAATTTCCAGTCGCTTTAAATGCATGAATACAATCTCCAGTGTTATATATATCTGATACCGCACAACGTCGCCATTACGCTTAGTTGTTTTGAGTACTTCTATGATAATGTATCTAGTTTTAATATTTTAGTCTTTGATTTAATTATTTAAGGTTTTATTTGTAATTTTAGAATTAAATTATATTTAACGAGGATCTATGAGCCTATGGTATGCGATTATCACAATCTGTGCTTATATTTTAACATGACGTATTTTGTGGCAATTGATAATTAAATATAATTAATTATAACAGTAAGTTATAAGTAACATGTAAGTAACCAATAATGTAACAGTATAGCAGCTAAAGTTTATGTTTTAAGTGACTTAAGATTACTTAAAATATTTGATAATAAAGAATATAATAAGTTAGTCAACATAAGTTCTATAATATAAGATAGTTACGTTTTAACGTCTAGTATAAATATCTCAGAAATGAGATATTTTCCCGCAGCAAAAAGTATCCTATATGTTGACCCAGATACCCAGCTATCATCATACCAAATTTCATCAAAATCTGTCCAGTTGTTTTCTCGTGGCGTTGCGGTCACAGACAGACATACAAAAATGGTTAAAACTATAAATTCGGCCTCTGTATCGATAATAATGACTATTTTAATAAAATTTTCCAAAAAAATATTTAATGAACAGATTCGACTCAGAATTTTATTATATGTATAGATAAAGATTAGAACTGTTTACATGTTTTAAAATGCAGGCATCATTAAATTAAAAATAATACCATTAAAATATTCATACTATAGGCTCGTAAACCCTTGAATTATTTAAATTAGGTTTAGTGAAGGAGCTAGTCCAGTTAGACGTTAGTAAATTTTATGCCCTTTTTAAGTGTTTTTTCTTTTATCTCGAACTAATGTAGTTTTAAAAGGAGCCCAACGTCAGTGCTAACTTGAATCTTAATTGTAATAATTTTAAGTTTTTAACATGAATTTTAATATTTTTTTGCACAATTTGCCACATTTTAATATAATGAGAATAACATTGTTTATTAAATTCTGTTTTCTCAGTTATAGGTTATATTATTTACCATCTATGAGGAAATGTATTCTCATATTTCGATTTTAACCTAATATGGCAGCTTAAATTATTTGTGAATTCCATATTTAATTTGTGTACCATAGTTATTTTAGATAAGCTTTTTACTTAACCAGTTACCACTCACTCACTAACTTTGAAAAAGTATCATTTGTCTATATATTTTTTCCGTTTAAACTCTTTACATTATCTTCTCTTTTAATATTATTCTTTTGCCTTGATATTTATTAATTTTTAATACTTTTTAACCAATTATCTTGTGGGAACAAATTATCAATATGGTATTTTGTGTATGATTTCGATGGCGACAAGTATGTTGAAAAATCAAGAAATAGATAACTTATTTTGATATTATAAAATACGAACGTTTCTGCAGGATATTTTGTATTGTGTATTTGTCGCCGTTATTTTAAACTACGATATTTTTACTAAATAATGAATTTTAACTGTAAAAGTACTGTTAATCATGTCGAAATATTTCTGATGTTCAAAAATAAAAGTTTAAATAATTGTGGATTTTGTTTTTCTTTATTGTGTTCATCAAAGTTTTTTTTTTAAATTTAACCTAATTTTAAATTGAAATTGAGTTTATATTAAAGATTATTTAAAAAATCTTTCTCTCTAGAAACATGTAGGTAGATTTAATGTCAATATAAACAAACATTACGTTTTGGTTTAATTGGACATGAAATAATTTTCTTAGTAAAATTTTTGTAAGTCTTGCACTAATCTTTGGCTAAGGTTTCTATGTGGCTATTGATGGGATCCTATAGGAGTTTTTAAATAGGGAGATACTGCCCAGCTGTTATATCAATTAACGTGGAACGGACTTTCCACTTAAAAACACTTCCTAACGGACTTACGGTACCTACCTGTGTTTATAAAAGTAAGAAAATAGTGATATATCGGTAAAATATTCGGTAAAAGAAGGACTTTGACTTTAATTGCTAATTATGTTAATGTAGCAAATTTTAAGTAGCTACTTCTGCTTTCATAACTACATATTTCAGTTTACAATAATAAAAATCTTAATATATGGAGGTACATGGTCAAGTGGGAATGACGCATAGCGTGGTCATTGGTATTACGAAGAATAGGCAGAGGCCCTAAATATGTGGGCATGACGTCATTTAACGGCCAAAATGAACCGGATGCACGGTTTCCGAAGGTAACCTAACATACAAGGTTCTAATTATATTTTGTAAGTAGGTAGGTAGACCCAAATTCATGAATTGTAGGTACATACTGTTCAGACACATATGTACCTAGGTAGCTAATCTATACATATAATAAAATTGTAACTAAGCCGAATCTGTACATTTAATATTTTTTGAAAAAACTTATTGAAATAAACATTATTATCGATACAGAGGCCGAATCTAGTTTTTAGAATTTTTGTGTCTGTTACCGCATCACGGGAAAACCACTGGATAGATTTTGATGAAATTTGGTATGATGATAGCTGGTTATCCGGGTCAACATATAGGATACTTTTTACCGCGGGAAAATATCTTATTTCTGAGAAAAAATACAAAAACTGCAATGTAAGAGTATACTAATATGTAAAACATAAGAATTTGGTTTTTGGTCACCTGAACGCGGGCGGAGCCGCGGGAAATGCTAATAATACTTAACTCATAAAGTTCGCAAGCAGATATTTGGAAAGTTAGCAAGTTGTACTAAACAAAGTCAATTACGAAGGAAAGCAAGTACTTCGTCGAATTATCCACTTTATAAATATTAACATTTACTTTTAAAATATACCAAAAACCTAATGCTATTCTAATTAAATGTGGGTAATTGGTTACATATACTATCAAAACTGATGAGTATCTATGTACATTTATAGTCTCTCAATCTTGTTTATATACTACATAGATACATTTATGTATATTATATGTAGACGATACTCCCGTTCAAATCTATTTTCGTTCAAAGTCAATGTCGAACATTGCTCTCTGGCGCTCCAACGCAATTTGTTTTGGTGTAACTGTGTCAAGGGCGGGGTAAAAAAGAAAGGCAGGTTAATTTTACAGATTTTTTTCTTGTATTTTTGTTATATTTTATAATTTATAAATGACCTAGTAAGAAAGTAGTCTTATCCGTTTCAGCACATACAATCATCATTCATGAGATTACAAAAGATCCTTTGGCGAGTGCAGTACCGAGGCCGGCGGTCGAGGCGCGCCCGCGGCGCCGCGCTCCTCCTGCCGTCACTATTACGATTTAATTACATATAATATCTTACGTACAATTAAATTAACGGAGATTATAAGCCTGAGTTGAGCAGCCGGCCGCGGGGCCGGCCGGGCCGCGGGCCGCTTCCGGTGGCAGCTACGCGCGACTGCGCGCTTAGAAGCACTTCCTGTGCACGATCGAGGGTCCAGACTCGTCGTACTCCTGCTTCGAGATCCACATTTGCTGGAAGGTCGATAGAGACGCGAGGATGGAACCTCCGATCCATACGGAGTATTTCCTCTCTGGGGGAGCGATGATCTTGATCTTCATCGTTGAGGGCGCGAGGGCGGTGATCTCCTTCTGCATGCGGTCAGCGATGCCGGGGTACATGGTGGTACCTCCGGACAGAACTGTGTTGGCGTACAAGTCCTTACGGATGTCGACATCGCACTTCATGATCGAGTTGTATGTGGTCTCGTGGATGCCGCAAGCTTCCATACCCAAGAATGAGGGTTGGAAGAGAGCCTCAGGGCAACGGAATCGCTCGTTTCCAATGGTGATGACTTGTCCGTCAGGAAGTTCATAGGACTTCTCGAGGGAGCTGCTGGAGGCGGCGGTGGCCATTTCCTGCTCGAAGTCGAGCGCGACGTAGCAGAGCTTTTCCTTGATATCGCGTACGATTTCACGCTCGGCAGTGGTGGTGAATGAGTAGCCGCGCTCTGTGAGGATCTTCATGAGGTAGTCGGTGAGGTCACGACCGGCCAAGTCCAGACGCAGGATGGCGTGAGGGAGCGCGTATCCCTCGTAGATGGGCACGGTGTGGGAGACACCGTCACCGGAGTCGAGTACGATACCGGTGGTACGACCAGAGGCGTACAGCGATAGTACGGCCTGGATGGCGACGTACATGGCGGGTGTGTTGAAGGTTTCGAACATGATCTGTGTCATCTTTTCTCTGTAACAAAGAAGGCGCGAGCGTTAGCATGGCGACGGTCACACGCTGCAGGGATATGACACTGACGATAATATTATGAATGTATAGACAGTGTAACACGAGTGCGATACACTTGGAGGAGGCGGCGAGACGTACCTGTTGGCCTTAGGGTTGAGGGGGGCTTCGGTGAGCAGCACGGGGTGCTCCTCGGGCGCCACACGCAGCTCGTTGTAGAAGGTGTGGTGCCAGATCTTCTCCATATCGTCCCAGTTGGTGACGATGCCGTGCTCGATGGGGTACTTGAGGGTGAGGATACCTCTCTTGCTCTGTGCCTCGTCTCCTACATAGGAGTCCTTCTGCCCCATGCCGACCATCACGCCCTGGTGGCGCGGGCGGCCCACGATCGAGGGGAAGACGGCGCGAGGCGCGTCGTCTCCCGCGAATCCGGCCTTGCACATACCGGAACCATTGTCCACTACCAGCGCGGCAACTTCCTCGTCGCACATTGTGAATTAGTCTGAAAAGTAATAATAATTATTAGTTAAAACAGGTTAAAATTATATTGATAGTCCTTAGAATTAGTTTAAACTAGTAACGACTAATCCGATTAGGTAACTTTCATATAAATATGGACGAACGACAAAATCGATAAAGTATGTAACACCATAAAAGGCTTGCCGTTGGAGTCACCCACGCCACTAAAGTGGGCGAATGATGTCGCAGATACCAAATAAGGTTCAGTCTAATGAGAAGTCACGCTATGGAGACGTGGCGGACTTACGCGGCGGGCGAGACACGGAGACGGGCGGTTACCGATTGGGTAAAAGTCGAGCGTTGGCTGAACACTTTCTTACTACTTTCTTTTAAATATTTAACCACTACTTTAAATTTGCAAATGTAACAGTAAATGCTTCGACCACGCCCTACCACAACCGGCGTTCCCGGTATCCCGACCGGCGTCACGCAGTCGCCCGGCCCCGTGTCACTGACCGCACACACTAATTGCACTATTAGCACACTAAACACAAAAAAATGCACTCTAATCACAAACGGATGCACATGAGATAAACTTACTTTTAATTTAAATAGTCCTATTAAATAAATAAAGTATTATCGCTATTGCACAGCCTCGGTTATGCTGCACAACACCTTAACTCGGGCACACTTCGTGGAATGTTGGCGGACGAGGGAGCCGGAGTATATAAATGAGGCCGGTTATCGGGGCGCCCCTACCCGCGAGCCCGCGACCGCGGCGAGCTCTCCACCAATCAGAGGAATCCTGAGTTTTCGTTACCATATATGGTATTGCGCTGCAGGGAGCCTGCGCGTCCCCCCTCCCCCTCCCACCGCCCGCCGCCCGCGGCCCGACGCTCCGAACCGGCGTCGAGCGTTGATACTTGATAGCAACCGCTAGCGCTACTTGATAACGACATCTCACATTGGCTTTTGAATTCCTCGGCCCTCCGCACTAGACGGCCCATATAGTTAATTAGATCAACTGCATACAGACATCACTACGAGCTTCAAATACAGTAGCGAAAGTAAATAAAAATATTGATCGATATTGGCGTCGTGCCAACACGCACTCATTACAGATGTTTTACGCGCATCTGCGGTGGACAAGCCTCAAGGCCCAAAGGTCTATCTTGCTACATTGAGTATCCTATTATGCGCAGTAGGTACTCACTCATGTATTTAGAGAGAAAATAATAAAATTAGTACATATATTATTTAGATCTAGGCCTTAACTTGAGACGTATGTATATAGAATCAAATTAAAAGTTAACTGTAAATAACTAATATGAATAATATTCATTAGTAAATAATTCATATTGGAACAACGTACCGTGAAACTACAATAAGTTGAAAAATATAACAATTGTCGATCCGTGAGAAATACCGGCCGCCTCGTCCGCTCGACACTCGCGAAGGTCGATTTGCTTCACTAGCAGGTAGCGTTTCGTTAACCACACGATAGATCTACTCGCCGGATCCCTATTCTACAAATTATTGGTTAAATTTTAAATTTTTACACGGCATATAAAATGACCTATAAAACCGATACTGACAGTTGAATGTGACAGATGTGAAAATGTTCATAAATTAAAATTAGAATTCTTATTTTTCTGCAGTCATTAATAGACTTGTCGACCTCCTCAGTCCTTACTCGCTCCAAACCGTCGCTATTACCATATATGGGCAGGAGGTTCTGATTGGTGAACGCCCGCAACGGTCACTGTACGTACATAGCGGCTCGTACCCACACAAGGATATCTTCAGCTGTGTTGGTGTGTAGTAACAGAACGATTCATTCAATCCAATATCGTCGTTGGCTTTGTTGCAAAGTTAACCGGTTAAAGAAAAGGGTCTTTGAAATGGTTACGGTGGTTTAACCGTGGGTAGCATTTGTTATGGTCAGGTTACCGTCTCGACGCATGCCTTATCTGCAACGATTGTAATCACGTGAATGTTCCCGCATACCTGAGACCCGATGCAGCACATTATATTATATGCATCAGAAGTTTGTAATGTATCATAAGGACTTGAAGGTTTAATTAATCAATCTCTCCAAAGAGATACACAGATTAAAAATGTTATCTGGTTTAATGCATTACTCATCTGGATTTTTTTTGTTTTAAACCGAGATGTCATAACAGTTACTTAGATCTTTTGTGTAAATCCTTTACTTGCCAATATTAACTAATTATAATATTTTATTGCGCCGAAAAATAGATATTATATCCGTAGGCAGCAAGCGTATAATAATAAAGCAAGATAAAATCTTAGAAAATTTTACGGTTACTCGTAATACAGTTAATGTGCTTTGGCAAGAGAAACCTCTTTCTTTAATCAATATTCATTAGAATCATCGTATCTTTTGAATTTGTTGCATTTTCATAATATAACTAGAAAATGTTTTATAACTTTCACTATCATAATATATGAACGTGATCTATGACATTGTAACACTTGTTGATGAAAAGTTTGTAATAGATATTTCATATATGTATTTTGAAATTAATTTTAATATCAATAAATTATTGTAATATTTTATAATTTATATGCAAGCAACAATGTTGTTGTTTCTTGTTGACATGAAAGATCAAATCTAATTTTCTACTCACAAATAGAGTGTGGGCTCGTCCGAGCCTATGAGAATGGAACAAAGGATCGTTAGCTGTTATTGGGATTTTGACTAAAAACTAATGCTAAAATTGTACAATTATACAATATCCTCTAGAAATAAATTAAAAATAAATAAATAAAACAAACAAATCACTGATAATTAAAAAAAATGACTAATACTCTTATGTGTTTAAAAACATTGACATATCATTTGTAAGGTTAGTAACATGTTATTCACGTATATATTAGTTTTTATGTTATTAGATGATATTGGTATAGTTGTCGGAATTTTACTACGATGAGTAAGCCTGATTGGCGCATGCGTACTACGAGGCTGACTCAGCCCTCACGTCTGATCTGATCGGCATCGCACTTCCCAACTCATTTCCGAAAGCTCACAATTGGACGGTCAAGGGCGTGAGTTCTAACCCTCTTTTACGGGTTATTTCCTTTCTAAGGAATAAATTGGTGATAGAATAACAAATAATATAATTAATTCTAATTTATGATACATTTATTAATGCATAGACAACATTTTGTTTTCATTTGGTTGTCGTTTCTTCCGTTCTAGCTCAATTATATCTTGTGTTTGAGATGGTTCTGAACAAATACACACATATAAGACGCACTTTACTATATAAATGCTAAACAAGATCGTATAAGGCTCGTATAATCTCGCGCCTCGTATATGGCTCTTTACTCGTAGAATAGATCGGTGACTAATAACAAATATTAATTGATTGGAATTACTAACCTTAATGGCTGCAATGCCTTTAAGGTATAAAAAATAAAATAAAAATGCTCACTCAAAGTTATTTAAATCCATCAAAAAATGTTTAAATTTAAGTAAAACGATATCGACTAATTAAAAGTAAATAAATATTTAACGTCATGTACTTACATATTTTTTTAATTGAATATAATAATTTAATTTGCTATGAAATTGTTAGGATAGAAAGGTGCAAATTCTAATAATATTTAATACGGTTATGATTCGAGATCCGCTTGAGAGTAGGATATCTTTTATTCATACATTTTCTAGATGCTCGTTTTAAAACGAATAATTATAAATAAAAATATATTTTTCAAAGTTATTCATTCGGTCACAAGCTCTAGGTCTTAACAAGTTATACCTACACCTAGACTCTAGAAAATAGAAATAATATATGAAATTATAAAATACTATCAGAACCCGCGGCTTCGCTCGAACTAAAAGTACAAAAAATATCTAAATAAGGTATTTTTATACAAATTTTTATCCCTTATTTTACCGCCTTATAGAATGAATTTCAAAAAATGCTAAGACACGTTAGATATTAGTTAGATATTAAGAGCATTAAACCAAGTTTTAAGTAACTCTGATCATAAATATTTTTTTTGGATTGTATTGTAACGTGGGAACTAGGTGGGAACGCCATAAAAAGTACCCTACGTCACTCTCCAGCCCTCCAACTATCTCCACACAAAAAATCACGCCAATCTGTATCTCCGTTTCGACGTGAAAGAAGGACAAACAAACAAACAAACAAACACAGTTTCACATTTATAATATTAAGTATGAATATGGATTATTGTCATAATTAGTGTCAAATCAATAATAATTTGACTCTATATTTTTTTAATTTAAAAATGGATTGGAATCTGGTCATCCCATAAATATTATAAATGTGAAACTTTGGATATAATAATCACGCCAGAACGGCTGAACGGATTTGGATGAGATTTGGCACAGAGAATAGAATATAGAAGAGAATAGAAGCACAATTTACTTACTTTTTATCACAAAAAATGTACAGTTCCCGGGTAGATTTGTTTTTGTTTTTCATGGAGCTAGGGATTGACTATCTATTCCAGACTAACCGTTGAATTTATTGAACCTAGGGACTAATCCGAGAGAAGCAAGGGTGAGTAGCTAACGCTATTCTATATAATATAACGTGTCTTCTAACATTCTACGCGACATTGGCGAACTGCGAAGTAAATTGTGCCCAAATGGCACTCCTAGAAAGCACGAAACAAAAGAATTGAATTGATTGAAATATTGTCATAAAAATTCTCAAAATTCAAAGAAATATAAGTTTAGGGAAAATAATATTAATTTCGATATCCGTTTACTGCTGTGAGTCACTGAAGGATGCGTGTATCGAGAATTACAAACACTCCTGTCGTACGTGTTTGTAGAGAATACAGATTATATAGCTATAATAATAGCTCGGAATGATTCATTAATCATTAGCATGTGCATAATATTTTCGCCGTGACTTGTGTTGGTCCTTGGCGAGAACGATTAGGACGAATTTTTAAATCGTGTCTAAGAATTTTGTACGTCACATTATATGTATATAACAGACAGTTTGGTTTTGATGTTCAATGGAAACTAGTTTCGAACGAGTAATTTGAGTTCCATTATATGTTTAGAATTAATAAAAAAAAAACATTATTTGATATGGTTATGTGGAGATCGTGCTCCTAGTTTTGTGTATCGAATCATATGTTAGACTGTAGACATTCAAGTTGTCGTTAACTCTAAAAATATAAACATCCCTAGCATCGATTTTAAGAACTCAACAAAACACAATACTATGCCTTATTCAGTTCTATGTAAGATTGATTATGATTATGTGAGAGGGATACAAAAAGTAAAAAGCACTAAGTATTCAAGATACGTCCTTTAAAAGGGATCCATCATCCCTCAAAGTCAAGTACCTATACACTTGTTGTGTTGCACAGGATGTGATGAACATATAAACACTTCACTATTCGATACCTACGTATAATAAATTTACTTTTTTTATATAATTTATAGTAAAGAGAATGACAGTTGGCTAACCTCTGATAAGTATTTAATTAAAAAGAAACGTGTAAAAGTTAGTAATAAAATACGTAAATAATTTTATGCCGGCTCTACTTTTCGTAAAGAAAGCTTCTTGATTAAATAAACTTTGCAGACAGATTTTGCTTCGTATCAATAAAAATAAATTAGATTTGTAAATTGTACTTGAAAATAATAAAAATTCTAGTCTCGTGGAGTTGCCCGAGGGAATCAATTTAATTAGTCTGTGTCGTCGCACAAACTTGTTTCAATTATGTCTCCATAATTTTCTTCATATTGTTGTGTATGAGGTAAATATAATGGTTAAAAATAAAGGTAAAGATAGGTAAATGTGGTAAATATATACACAATTGCCCACAAATTTTATTTTTAATCTGATCGGGTTTGGAATGTGATAATATTTCTTGAGAATAGATACAAAAAAGAATAAAATATTAAAGAAAATAAGCTAT